CACACACACACACACACACACACACACACACACACACACACACACACCCTTCTAGGGCAATATGGAGAATTATCCCAAAACTTGTTTTGTTCACCTATAAGGTTCAGGTTTTGATCAGAGGTCCACCGTAGCAGTTACCTCGCAAAACACTGTGAATAATCACAAGGGTTTATCACACTCTTATTCACATCTGCTGAATGAAAAAGTGACAAATCTACACTTTTTAAGATATAAGATGATGTCACCTGATCTCTGCTTTCCTCATAAAAGCTGTAACCTCATTTCCTGACACTGATAACATGAAAACAAACAGCTCCTGTCCTACTAAAACAACAAACCATACAGGGAGCATGCAGCGAATGGAAAGACATTGGTTGACTCAGCAAACAACGGAAACTTCTTTATAATCACAACCAGCGCGCTTCCAAATTGGATTGAAAATTACCACTGCGGCATATTTCTCCACAACCTCCGCTCTATCGTGCAGAAGTCAGAGAGATTTCTCACACTCGCAGCACTCTTGTGTAGACAGACATTCCCATTAACATAATGAAATCACGGGACGCTATACAGAGATGTAGGCAAAGGGCAGCGAAACCAAAAATCAGGACAAGAGCACAGCGTTAATGTCTAAAAGACATATAGCTCTGCCTCTCCTGCTGCCCTCTCGATCCTTAAATTAAATTATTGTGGGAGGAAATAGTGAGTGTAAGCAATAACCTCGACCCCTCACCCTACAGAGCTGTGTGCCAGTAGTTTACTCCCAAACCAGCTTGTCCATTGGTGTTGCCAGACCATTACGAGACAGTTCGGGCTTTAGGGAAATAGAGATGACATCATCTAAAAGTCGAGCATCGACTGCCGTACATTCTCGCCATACCCGAGGAATCATGTGTCCAAGCGGTCCAGCTGTCTGGGCACACAAAGACCAACCTGTGCCACTCCCTCCCACACAGTCATGACAGATACTCACATGTGCAGTTGTACCACTTGCAGCTAGCAGTGGTTCCACACTCCTCGCACGACTTAGAGGGACATTCATCTGCAAAGAAGACATTTATTAATTTAGTCGTGGTACTTTTACAGTAACTTCCTCCTGCATGTGGTAGAAAATGAAACTGTAACAGTAGCTCTCCAGATGGTGCTGCTAAATAAGGGATCTAACAGACAATAACTCAAATTTAGCACAAACAAACAGCAAAATATTACAATGTTGTGTATTTTAAAATGTGACACAGGAGGCAAATGAAAGCGGTTACATAACAAGCTGATCTGGATCTGACAATGAGAGTTAACGTTACACCAGTCTGTCCTGTGTCGTTTATAGTATTATAATAATATTAACCTACAGTCCACGTGACACAATGTAAACTGAATCTAAGCCCAAAACTGTCTGCTTGCAGGCTAAGGCGTGAGCTAATCCTGGCAATTTGAGCGTGGAAATACAAATTGTAATGACCAAAAATGGAGGCATATACTCCAGACAGATTCTGGATCAGTTTACTGGTGGACGTCTTGGTTGTAGCTATAGCCGCTAGCTCAGCAGCGAGAGGTCGCAAACTTACCTGAGTCTGTTGCGGCTGGCGCGCCAAGCAGAGCCAGAACCACAGTGAAAAACACCACCTTCAAGTACATGACTGCGGGCAACTTATTGCTCTTTGTGTTCCGACGGAGGCAACGTAATCTTGAGGAGAAACGTCGAGAGTGAGACTTCGGAGATTTCACAGCTTCCTCCTCGTCTTTGCGTTTCTGGTCACTGCTGCTGCTGTTGTTGCTGCTCGCGCTAGCTCGCTACTTCCTACTTGACAGGTCATGTGGCACTTTTTTTTTTTTTTTTTTTCACTGGGAGGAGTGACAAAAAAACCAAAGTGCACGTGAACTGCCACCACGTCAACGGCAAGAAGGGAAAAGGCGCTTATTGTTCGTTTATCATTAACCAAACTGCTGGGCGTCACTTCTATGTTTAGCTGAGGGAGACGTCACTCAAGACATACCTGATGAAAAAAGAGTACACCTGTGACGCAAAACACTGAATATTAATACACTAAAAATAACCTCTCACATCCATGGCCTGATTGGCACAGATTGGCCCCCTGATACTCACTTCCCATCCACTCTAAGTGGATTTTTAGGGGATACAACATGCACAGTATCAATTTTAACGATGTGAGGAGCCTTTTATCTTAGCCTGCCTCTGGACTGAATCTGTTGTTCATTAAGTTAAACAAACACACAGTCTGATTAACAGGATATCTCTATCTGACTACAGGTTAATTTACCATTCATTGATGTCAGCCTGAGCCTTACTCATAGGTCATAATTATATTTTGGACAGCTAATATTCAATTTAACAATGAAGTTTCACCTGCTTGCTCCACCTCTGCGCCTTTCTCTTAAGTTCGAATTCAAATATACTTCTTGGCAAAGACAAAGAGAAATGTTTTCAGTTGATCCCACCTCATTTACAGCATTGGGTTTGCATTTCAGTACCTGCAAGTTTTACTCTGGGTGTTATACATTATGAATATATGTTGTTCGTACCTGTAAGTATTTGGTGAGTAAATGTTACTCTCAAAACCACAAAGAAACCAGAATAAAATCATATAAATATACACATACACAGAGTAATTGATGTGGATGTGATGATAAAATGCTAGTTGACGACATTAAGACACAAAACGTACTTTATTCATGCACAGTATCAACAAAATGCCAAATTACAAGTACATACAAAAGAGAAGCAAATGTCAGTCGTATGTTTCTTTTATTTGATTACAAGAAAAAAATAGAAAAAAAGCATTTAAACACTCAACTTAAAACTTAAACACTCCACAATCTGTAACTTTACAATCATACTTGGGTCTTTCATTGCAAGTCAGAGCTCCTTCTAATCTCCTGAGGACGTCGACACCCTCAACCACATGACTAGAATAGAAAATAAAGACACTAGGCTTGAGCAGAAATGTATAAGAGATCTGAAATATTGCAGCATTGGGAAATTAAATAGGTGTGATACAAACCCGAAAGCAACATAGGTCCTTTCCATCCAGGGTGTTGGCTGCAGGGTGATGTAAAACTGGGATCCATTAGTATGGGGTCCCTTATTGGCCATTCCTAGAGTGCCCCGTCTAGTGTGGGACACGGCAAAGCTCTCATCTAAAAGGAGAAAGAACACATGTTGTGGAGAATTTACAATAAAATCCACTAATATACACACATGCACAGTGGGTTCTCATGGCAATACTGTTGATGTCTTGGAACGTTTATATGTTTTTTTACCTTCAAATGTTGGTCCATAGATTGACTCCCCTCCATCACCTTTCCGTTCTGGAGAAATATCTGCAAAATTGAAAGATATATGTATTGTGTAATTAGACCACAGTGATACAAACTCACTTCCTCAATCTCACAATATTTTTGCTGACGACTTTAGTTTCTGTCACAATCGTAGTATGGGTCAGGCTGTAATGAGTACCGTGGATGGGAAGTTGGAGGAAGTCACTGCTTATCTCACTTTCTGGAAACAGAGTCAGATTAGTTGTATCTAGTTTAATGTGGACCATACCTCCACCTTGCACCCAGCCGTTAGGCACCACACGATGGAACACGGAGCCCTTGTAGCAAAGTGGGAGGCCGCTCTGTGACAGACCTCGCTCTCCGGTGCACAGAGCCTCGAAGTTCTTTGATGTCTTTGGACAAACATCTGAGAACAGCTGAGGAGAGGGAGGACAATGTGCCTTATTAACATGCTGCTATGCTGTAATGGTAATCCGTTTAGTCACATAATGCAGCTGGTAATGATAAACTACATGAATTTGTGCCTCACCTCAAACAATAACTTCCCCACTGCCTCTCCTGCTATTTCAATGTACATGAAGACAAACTGATGCTGCAATGAAATGACAGAGAAGTGTATTCCTTTCGTTTTAATGTTTCACGGTTGAACAAATACAAAGAAAAGGTGATTTTTATGAGAAATATTCATCAAGAAGAGCCACTGATGACTGTAACTACGACTGGAGCCTGATGGTTTGCAGATTTTTAACCTAAACTTGTTATGTTTGTGTCAGTGGTGTGGACTTGCCCCATTGTCCCGGAGGTGTTTGGTGTAGTAGTCTTCAGTGAGAGCCAAATAGAAAGCCTGTGGCCGAGTGAAAGAGAAACTCCACTGATTCTGGGCCCAGGAGGCGAGGTCCTTCTCATTACCAAGGAGAAGGCCGTTCACAAAGCACATCAGGCTGCTGGCGTACTGCCACGCTTCACCACGCAGCTCCTTGAGTCACAAGGGTTTGAACAACAGATGTGTTGTGATTCATCAGAATAACCATAACGTCAAACTACAGCAGTACTGTGTTGTGTCTGTAGCTGTATAGTGGAGCATCACAACACTCAGCAAGCAGCTGAAGCTTACACAGTCTACAGAAATGGTGGAAAGTAACGCACGTAATTACTCAAGTACGGTACACTTGTGATGTACTTCTACTTGAGTATTTAAATTATTTGCATTAAGATTATACAAACAAAAGATATGAACATTTACAAAACACAATAAGCAATGTAAGTTAATTCAAATGAGCTCCACTTACAACATTTGAATGCTGTCTACACAATGCACCATTTATAGTGATATGATTTGATAATAATATAATAACCCAGCAGTAATGCAACACTGACACAGACCACACTTCTGCCTAATGACTGCTTTCTCTTGACACTTTATGCCATTTTCTCTGCTTTAATGACTTTAAGAGTTTTGTTGCAGCCCAAAAACAATTAGCTTGAGGGTTGTATTTTAAAGGAATATAAAGAGAAGACTCACCCTTTTCTTTTGGGACAGATATGTGTGCCAGTCAAATTCCAGTAGTGGTTGAATTTTTGGATCGAGGAACACCTTGGGAAACTTCTGTTTTAGTCCCTATTGTGCATAAAAGATAAAAGTGTTGATAACGTTCAGGTGAATTTATGCCAAATAATAACAAGAGATGAACGCTTTACCTCGGCAATACTTCTGGCAACATGGAAATTACAGTCTTTAATTAAGCCGACAACTTCTAGGTGTATTTCTGAGTCCATGGTGGAAAATAAAAACAGTCAAAAGGTCTGTAAACAAGAGCCTGTCTCCATAACAACACGCATTCAGAGGCTCGTTAATATGACGCGCATGTTAACATGTCCGGCTTAGACCGACTTCGCGAGGCTGTTCCCTTTCTTTCCGCCTTGTAGTTGAAATAATTAAGTGAATCGAAATTACACAATCACATAAAGCCTCGAGATGACCCATATTCAATTTAAACATCGAGTTGACTTTATTTTTCCACGTCGTGACGATTAATACAGCAACAAGGCAGCGTAGTGCACAGATGTATTCAACGAATTGGAACGGGGCCCAACGGCCGCCACTGTTTGAAAACTTGTCGTCGTCCTGTGTTGGTTTTTTGTGTTGTTCAGCATTCACGTTTTCTATACACTCCACTGAATTAAATCGATTTAAAAAGGCCGTTTTTTGGGGGGGTTAGATATGGGTGTTAACGACTTGTGGTCCATCGTGGAGCCGGTTCGTGAGTCGGTTCCGCTGTACAGTTTGAGCGGAATGACGCTAGCAGTGGACCTGAGTCTGTGGGTGTGCGAGGCCCAGCATGTCCAAGCGATGATGGGGAGAGTCACCAAGCCACACCTGAGGTAAACGTCACATATCGCTCTTTAATTAATCAGCTTAAAACTGTTTCTGGTCACCGGTTACCCCAAAGCATTGCTCTTGTGTGTCCAGGAATTTATTTTTCAGGGCGTCATCCCTCACGCTTATGGGGGTAAAGCTTGTGTTCGTGATGGAAGGAGAAGCCCCAAAACTAAAAGCAGAAACCATGAGCAAGAGGACACAAACAAGATATGGAGGATTCAAAAAGGCTTCTGCCCCGAAGATTACAGTGAACACCAGCAGAGGGCGCTTTAAAGCTGTCCTTCGAGAGGTTAGTTGCTTCCCCCACTCACCTGCAGATCAGACAAGTCATGATGAATTACTAATTTGTATGCACCCTTCTCTGATACCTGCAGTGTGCAGACATGTTGGACTACCTGGGTCTGCCCTGGGTCACAGCTGCCGGGGAGGCCGAGGCCATGTGTGCCTACCTGGACTCACAGGGCCTGGTGGACGGCTGCATCACCAACGATGGAGACGCCTTCTTGTATGGAGCCCGGACTGTCTACAGGAACTTCAATATGAACAGTAAAGTATGTCTGTGAACGTTTAACCATCCACGGAGTACAACGTCTGGAGAAAGTTCAACCCAAATCACAGGAGTGGAGTCTGATTGGAATGTGCTGCAGTGCTCATTCGAAAGGCTGTTCTGGGGATTAGTACTGAATTTATCTCTGTGATCAGAACTTTTTAGAATTGTGTTTGAACACAAATTCCCTGTTGGTTTCCAGAAGAACATTCTGTATTCTATGTCTTTGTTCCTAATCTGCATAATATTGTTTGTGACTGTTCCCTGCAGGACCCACAGGTGGACTGTTACAGGACATCCAGGGTGCAAACAGAGTTACATCTCTCCAGAGAGAATCTAGTTGGTCTGGCCGTCCTCCTCGGCTGTGATTATATTCCTAAAGTGCGGAGGACATCTTAATCTGAATTTTGCATCCTCAAAATCACCAACATGAATGAGTTATGTTAACCGAACAATGTCATTCTTCCATCAGGGCATTCTAGGTGTTGGTAAAGAGCAAGCTCTGAGGCTTATCCAGATGCTGAAAGGACAAACACTTCTGCAGAGGTAGGAAACCCAGATGTGTGATTGTACATTAGCACAATTTTTTTCCGTTGCCTCACATCAACGGTGTTTATAGTGTCGTGTTTGTGCCCTTGTAAGCTGTCTTTGATCACCTCAGGTTTATGCAGTGGAAGGAGGAGAATGCAGGCGTGTTTGAGGGAGTGAAGAAGGTTCCTCACTGCAACATGTGTCGACATCCTGGTGAGTGGTGCCCTGCTTTGAACTCTGACCCCTGTTCCTGATAAGAGGTGGAAAGGAAAGGAGGGAGGGGGGGTGTCCCTGAGAGGACATGTCTCACACATGGCTGCTTTAAAGCCATTTAACCTGTCATGTTAAAACATACACGTATGTGAGAGATGGGTTAGTCTGAATGTGCCTTTGACTTTACACCCAAGTTGTAGTAGTGTGTTGGATCTTTTTTTGTTCATCTACTCTTTCTTCTCTTGTTTTATCAAATTCTGATTCATCTCCTCCCCTTTTCAGGCTCAGCGAAGGCACATGAACGTGGCGGCTGTGCGCTTTGCGACAGTACACGTTTCTGTCAACCTCAGGACTTTGACTACCGGTGTCCCTGTGACTGGCACTGCTATGAACAGGCCCGGCAGGACTTGTCTTTTGAGGCAAATATCAGAAAGTATGTGACTTTACAAAAAACAGTAAATGTAAATGCACAAAATGAAAGTGGAATGGCAAGCAGGGAAATACAGGCAACACATTAAAAAGAAGATCAAGACTAGTGGTATTATAGTCAGTCCATCAATCATCATTCTCAGTCTGAGGAGGTGAAATGACGAGTTAATTAATTGATTAGTTAATTATCAGAAAGATAATCAGCATCAGTTTTGCAATTTTCCTTTTAATCAAGACATTTTTGAGCTAAATTGAAGAAAAAAATGAATTTTTTGCAACAACTCAGATGTGAATATTTTCAGATGTTGTTCTGTGATAGTAAATATGATATCTTTGGGTTTTGTACTATTTATCAAAAGAAACCGGCTAAAGACATCAACATTGAGGTGTTGTCGTTGTCATGATTTTAAAGGGCAGTTTGCATGTTGATGTGTAATCTGTTCATTTTGTGTTTTATTTCTTTTTTAGGAAAACCCTGGCAAGTCAACAGTTCCCTTTCACAGAGGTACAGCTGTTTTCATCTGCAATGGCTTGTATGTTATTGCGCAGTCGTATGATAATCTACACTACATGGTTTTCAAATCTTTGATTGCATTTTGCAGATCATTCGTGAGTTTCTGATTTCAAAGGATGAGCCTGTGTTTCATTTTAAGAGGAGACAGCCAAATATGCTGTTGATGCAGGTAATGAGTTTATTTATTTATGTATATGACTTGTCCAGTCAGTGAGATATATCTTTTAGTCAGTTGCATGTTTAAATTTCTGTTTTTCAGAAATTTGCCTTTGACAAGATGGAGTGGCCAAAGCATTACACCAGTGAAAAGGTTTTAGTCCTGATGACCTACGTAGAGTTGATGAACAGAAAACATGGAAGAGAAATGTGCTCCCAAATCAAGCCCCTCAGGTAGTCCTACAAGCACAATTTTTAACAACAACAAAACTGTTGCTTTAGTGGCATTGTTGCAGTAAAAAAGTTATTTCAGTACAATCATAACACAGAACGACGCGTTTTCCCTTCAAAAGAATATTCAAACCGAGAGTGAGGAATGCCGTCGCTTGCTTCGAGATCATCTGGAGCGCTCCAGGTCGGTATAAATCTCATCAACTTTCTTCTTTTTCTCATATTAGACGATCGCGATATTTTAGAAAAACATCCTCTGGGTTGAGTGACACCGGGTTGTCTGTTGGTGACTTGCTGTGAGGTTGAGTTCAGAGGTGACAGATCAGTCACAACAGCCACTAGGTGCTAAACTGGCTTCCTCCCAATCTGTCATATCAAAGTCTTCTTCACTAACAAGCCGACATGACCGGCTTGAGAAACTCTCAATCAGCTTCTTCAGAATGGGGTTCCTCATGTCATTTAAAATATATACAACTCAAATTATTACATAATGGGTTTACATTTGTATTTACCATTATTGAGTGTATATTTTAAAGTAACAATACTTGATATCATTGATTATAAATGCATCGGTAATCAAATTCTACGATACGTTGATTGAATAATTAGTTGACCAAATATTAATTATTTTGATAGTTGATTTATCATTGAGGTCGAGCAGAAATGCCAAATGTTTGACAGGTTTGCGTATTTAATTTAATATTTTAGTAAATTGATTTTTGTTCTTTTTTTTGACAAAACAAGACATTTTATATTTTATCACTTTGGCCTCTAGGAAATATAATAATTATTAGTCATAATTATATTACTATAATATAATAGTCACAATAATCAATATTAAAACTAATTGTTAAGAGGAAGAAAAGTGGTTCACAACAAGTAGTAATACTTTTCTCTGGTGGAACTTTTTTCTTTTTTCAGTAAAGAACCACATTTCTGAAACATAAATATGGAATACAAGAAAATTACAGTGTAAATACAAAAAAAATATTATATTCTTATATAATAGAAGTCATTTTCTTTTACTCTATATGTTTATTGTACTCACTTTTATTCCTATGTTTATCTTACTATGTATACAATGAATGCACCAAAACACCGCCGTGTACGTGAAACCCACTTGGCAACAGACTGGATTCTGATTCTGGCTTTGATTTTCTTATACAAGGTCACAAGATACTTATTGAGACCAATTTGGATCTGACCTTGATTTATCTTTTTTTTCTTCTTCTACAGAACATTACGTGTTTCCTGAGGACCGGCCTGCAGAGGATCAACATGAAGTGAGGACGGTGGAGGAAGAGTCTCTCTTCCGTGTGGCCTACCCAGAGGTGGTGGGGAGCTACCTGAGAGACAAAGCTCAGGCCGAAGAGAACACGACCAAGAGTGAGACAATAAGATATTATATTCACTGGCATAAACGTACAACACTAAATGCCATGTGTTTTTTTCTTTCTGGGAAGATTTTTATAAAATTATTCATGTCTGGCAAAACCCCCCCTCCCACGCACACGCCACACGCACAGACTTGAAAAGCTCCTGATCAAAGGCACCTGGTGCTTTAACTTGTTTTTCAAGGCCGTCTATTGCAGCGGCTCTGACACCTGAAAATGTAGAGTTTGGCAGCTCGGCTGGTTCACACACCAAAGGCTTTGATGCAGCTGAGAGGTGTCTGTCTCACAGGCCTCGCTGTCACTTTATGCAGGTTGTACTCCCCCCCCCGGTCATAACTGCTATAGAGCTTCACTTCCTAAAAAATAGCCACCGAGATTTACAGTCGAGAGATGCCAGAGTGAACATGTTCACATTAGCCTTTCATTCAATAAATGTGTTTTAAATCCTTTTTATTTGTTCACTGACATCCAGTCTCGATCTTTTTTTTTTTTTTACAGAGAGAAAGCCAAAGAGTAAAAAGGAGAAGCTATCTGATGTCTCCGATGGTATTTCAGACCTCTTGGCCCAGATGACCCTCCAGAGTTCCTCCAACACAAATGCACAAACGCTGATCCATGCCGTTTCAAACACAGAGGAACCAGAAGTGGTGGTTTTGGACACTCCGATGAACCATAAACAGCATCTGAAGTTAAAGGAAGACCACAGCAGCCCCAGTACTCCTCTGTCTCGTGCAGAATCCGAGGCTGTCGCTCCACCGTCTGTCTCTGCCGTTATCGACGCTCTACACCTGAGTGATATCGACTGGGATGCTTTGTCCTTCACATCCTCTCCAACTCAACCGTCCGCTACAAACTACAACACTGAGCCCAAACTGAGCAAAACCCCAGACGGTGATGTCAGGGAAACGGAGGACGAGAGCACAAAGCAGAAAACCTCAGGTGATGTCAAAGAAGCCGACCTCAGATCTGCTTCGGAGTTGTGCTACACGGACTGTCCTCTAAGGGAGAGGCTGCTCATGAGGAACACAGCTAAAGCTATAAATCAGATAGAGGCACACAATGACGTGGTCTCAAAGCAACTGAACTATGAGTTGGCTTCTCTCAAACACATTTCGTCTCATAACTCAAAGACAAAAGGCCAGATCCCCAGTAAAGGTGGTAGTGACAGTAATATGTCAGGAACGGAATCTGCTGTTGACAAAAAAGAGCCACTCACGGACAAAAGGCAGTGTGCAACAAGTAAGGCAGAAACAAAGGACAAATGTAATGGCTCCCAAAAGCCTCCTGTGAAATATAAATTTGTCCGAAAAGCCATCTCATCATCTGCTGTCCCCCCACAGAGGAGCCACTCTGACCCAGCCCGAAGTGACAAGGACGGGAACATGCCACAGACCACCAAGAAGAGCGTGTGCATGAGCATGAGCATGTGTTCATCGAGCGAGGAAAGTGATGCAGAGAACCAGCAGTCTGGACCTCAAAGAAAAGCTCAAATCAAGCCCATGAACATGAAGATCAAGGGCGGCTTCCTCTCAGACTTCCCCCTGAAACCTAAAACGATGAAACCAGCAGCGAAGACAGCTCACACTCTTCAGTTACTACAACTAAAACCTCAGAGCTACAGTGCAGATATCGAGATAAAAGGCATACCTGCATCAACTAAAAGCAGATGCCAGGATGTCTCCCCAGCTGATGTGGACGGTGGTGTGTTCCTTCAGACTCCAGCATCACCTGCGTTCGACAGTGACGACTCAGTTATTTGTTGTGAGAGTCCACTGCCACTGGCAGAGAGACTGAGGCTGAAATTCCTGAAGTGAGCCGGACGATTACAGGATGATGGACAAGAACATGTAAGCTGTGTTGTGTTGAATGTGAACGTTTATTCTGAACCTTGGAAATAGAGGTTGACCAAAAAGTCTCATCTGAAGGTCCACTTTTTACAGAAGAGCTGCAACAATTAGTGTCGTAGTCAACTGACGTGAAATCAGCAACTCTTTTGATGATCCGATAATGGTTTTAGTATTTTTTTCAAGCAAATATGTCAAACTTTTTGTGGTTCAAGCCTCTCAAATATAACAATTTGCTGCTTTTCTTTGCCTTAACAGTATAACAGCTTGTATATCTTTGTGTTTTTTATCAGACTAAAAAAGCAATTGTTGAAATCATGAAATTGTGAAGAATTATTAACAAAATAATCAATATAAACACAACCCGTTACTGTGATCCTAAATGGATCTGTTTCAGCAAAACGAGGGCAAAGTTTAACCACAGTTGTAAATATAACATGCTGATTATTAGTGAGATGTGCTTTGAAAGTTTCAGAAAAAGCAAAGAAAATTGAACCTTGTGTCAAACTTTCCGCCATTATTTTATTGAAGCTGTGCCAGTAGGTTCTATACAATGTTCTGTAACATGTGTTGGTATTGAAAAGCCTGACTGATTGTGTTGCCAATGAACAAAAAAAAATGTAATTGTTACAATAAATCCTTTTATAAATGTTTAGTATAACCAAAGTTTGCCTTGCTATCCATTCATCTGATCCTAACAAGAACCGTTCATGTAAATCAGGGTTAAAGGTTGTGGATTAGCACAGTTTTCATGTAACAGCACCACATGTGTTTGTTTGTTTTCCTCCCTCCCACTTCTGTTTGACAAGCTGAAATGTCACTCCACACAGAGGCACTGCAGCTCAGGGGGACACCGAGGACGCTGAGCTGTTGGTTTTACAACCTGCCAGCCAGCGTTGGTCCCCTTGATCATGAGTGAGGCCTTACACACCTTTTCAGACATGAAAGGTCTGGCAGCAGCTTGGTGACAGCTGCATCCTCTACCCAAATAACGAGAATAAGTGCTGGAAATAGAGCAGTTTGTCAGGATGATTCTGCTCGTTTTTCAGTGCAAATCAACTTGGCTCCTAAAGTTTGTTGAGTCATGTCATTTTTGTTTTGTGAAGTGTAAATATCACACTTGATGGAAACAGGAAAAAACTGCATTGGAAACAAGAAACATTACTCCAGGTGTACGTTTAAAGGTAAAACATAATCTTAAGATTCAGTACAGAACAGTAAAATATTGAATTATTTTGGCCTTGAATAATTTGGTTTAAATAACTCCTCGACTGAAGACACACGTGGGCCCGACTTCCCGGAGAGGTGTGAAGATCTCAGGTGAAGCAGCATCCCCTCATTGCTTTATTAGACAGATCACATCAAACTGATAATTGTCGTCGTGCAGACTTTAAAGAGTAATTTCCCACAAAAGGAATCTAATTATTTTTCTTTCTATCACATTATCCGTCTGTTTAGCCCGATTCACACCCCAGTGGTGAACGACGTCCTTCGAGAAGGTCGCATTTTGGCACTTCAGGTTTTCTTTGAACTTTCTTCGCCTGAGCTGTGAACCCATAAACCTCCAAAGATCTGCTTCTATATAAAAACGCTTTGGCCAAAATCACCTTCACAGAATCTGTCATTCGCCGCCAATGTCACCCGCGCAGCACGAACGCCTGGAAGTCTCGGGATATTTCTAACATGGACCTGGAGGTTGTCACCGCTAAAATTCTGGCTGAGTGGAAGAGCCATGAGAGCACTTTTGGGGGAGATCAGGACTCACAACAGTCCACCTCACCGGAGTCCTCGATGGACTCCATGTGCTCCTCACCGGAGATGTGCTACTCCAGCGGGCATCAGGAGATGAAGGACTTCCACTTCGGCTTCACGGGACGGAGAGCTACTCCAACGGCGCAGAGGCTGGGCAAGCCCAAGATGTCCACCAAAAGACGCGTGAAGGCCAGCGAGAGGGAGAAGATGCGGATGAGGAGTCTTGCGGAGGCTCTGCACCATCTCCGAGACTACCTGCCACCGGACTACAGCAAGAGAGGCCAGCCCCTGACCAAGATACAAACCCTGAAATATACAATTGAGTACATCAACAAGCTTTCAGACATCCTGAGCCGCGCGTAACGGACGCAAATTAGACTTTTTACGCATCTCATCTGGACATTTAATGGAGTTAGCTTTATATACTTGATGAGAAATACAACACCTTTGAGATAACTTAATCATTTGATTTCATTTAATATGTCCTTTGTTTGCCGTTTTCTTGGTGTAAATATTGTTTAACGGGCACTTGGCAATTATTTTGTAGCCCATATGAGGCTGCCTTTGATGAATTCAGTATTTGGATATACAGTGTGCTGTTTGTTGATATGTATATGTTTCTCTTATGGTATCTTAATGGGTATGAAATATAACTTTAGTGATGAAGAATCTCTCTCTAGCCCATGTGTTCGTGTTAACAGAGAACTTGTATATTTTCTGGTGTGTTTTAGAGTAAAGTAACGTTAGCTGCATGATATATCAACGTTTTGTTGTGTATGAAAGCTATTAAATAATTAGTCCTCTTGTCTTTTTTAAATGATAAGTTAATTTGTTTATTCGATTCTACCTATATTTGTATCCACTGTAAAATATAGGTTATAACAATCACCATGTGCAGATCCAGGTTATATACACCCGAATATGTCCTCGACTTGAACATCTACAATAAATGAGTGATTTGTGTTTAACTTCGTGCCCAGTTAATTAATTAACCTTCTTTAATAGTACAATTGATTAGAACGAACGTCATTCAATTCCTCCAATCAGAATGCCAAAACATCGCACACAGGCTGATTGAGAGCAACAAGTAGCCAATCAGACACCAGCATTCCTCCCGGTGGGCGTAACCCTCCACAATGCGTTCCTCTCCGCGAAATCTCAGACCAGGGATGTGGTCTAGCCTGACGAAGCCACCATCTGAAACCGCTAAAGAGCTACAGAAGCTGTAGGACATCCTTGTAAATTTTTATTTTTCCAATATATATATTTTATTTTTATTAGCTAGTCGGGAAATTGTAATACTTTTCAAATCTACCTCGCCTCCATCATCAGCTGAAGTAAGTCCCTTCTGTATCAACGCGTTTGTAAACCACAGGAACGCCCCTTTTATAAAAACTAATTTAAGACACAATGTATCAAAATGTCAGGTCAGCTCTGCGATGTTTACTCCAGGAAATAGACGGGGCCCTTTTAGCCCTTTAACCAGCCGTGCTCAACATTAGCTCCTGTAGAGACTACAAGTGTTGCACACGGCCCCCTCTGATGGTCCTAGCTTAATATTTCAGAGCTCACATAGCTTCCCCCGCCTCTCAGGATCAGAATACAATGTTTCCGTGACGCCTCTGCCTCTGCAGGCTTATTTACTTTAATATAACACTGTGATAATGTGTATATGCGTGACAGTCCTCAATGGCACGGTTACTGTCTGTGTAAATAGATATAAATATATAAATAGATGTATTAAGATGGACGCATATAAAGAGAGAACATCTACCCTCTTTGATATAAATGGGATGCACAAAATATTATAAACAACATTCAGATACAATTCAACAACACCACACACAGGCTACAAAATATCCTTTTTCAGACGTCATTCATTGAAGCTATAGGTGTTCCTTTATGTACATACAGTTAAGAGAACGTATTGGACAAACGACATACAAAAAGTAGATATAAACAGCATAGCTGCATGAATTAAAACAGGCTTTAACAATGCTGGAACTCACCGTTTATCAAATAATCCGAAATATATAAACACCAGTGTTTTTAGATCTGCATAGACTTTGTTGTTTACTGGTAGACCATAGATAGACCAAGACCATAATAAGGCAATAATATTCATACAGGGGGAGTAAATAGTACACATATGGTGACCTCATCATAACATGTTGCATTTTTGTCATCTGCTATATTCTCTATAAATGTTTTAAAATATAAATGTTTTCCAACAGGAACTTAACAGTTGTGCAGTATTCATTATTGTATCCTTACAGAGTTTATCTTAGAATGCGGTTCTTTTTAAAAGGGTATTTGGCCAACGTGTTGACCTCTTAAGCTCACGGGATTTGTTGAATCTAGCCAAAGTTTCTGACACTCTGGAAGAAAAACTATTTACGAGGTTTCTTCCTCAGGGGGAATTTTGAAAGTCGCTCCAAAAATGCGAATTCCCCGAATAAGTGTCAGTTACACACTTAGTGCCCAAACCCCCCTCTCTTCTCTTCCTTTCCCCCTAAATCACAAAAGTCTGCTCTCCACACTCCACTGGCTAGCAGCGTCACAGACGCTGCATTTTACAACGGTAGTGTGATCCGGGTTTAGGGACTATTAATAATTTTCCCGTTATCAGCTTTGACTTCCAGTTGTCCCGTCCGTGCTTAACTTGGAAACCTGCCACCTGCTTCTCTGTGAGACATGCACAGTCTATGCAGGGAATGCAACGCCGAGGTTTCGTGTTTCATTGACATTTTAACACATTGTAGACATATACATGACATATACATACTTAAACACATACCTCAGCATGTTGTGAGTGGTATTACACAAAAACTATCTCATACAACAAGAGGAATAGCAGGAAAGCAAGAGGTGTTAACGATGGCTATCGCTGTGTATCACTGTGTTATCAAGGTGATGCCAGTGTACAGAATGTCAAATTAAGTTGCCAAGACTCAAGTCTTTGTTGGAGGATCTACTGATGAATGATTTTTTCCCCTTCATATCAAATAAATCTTTTTGATGGAGGCTCTCATTACTTAATATCATGCTTGACCTCATAGCTGCATGGAAGTCACAATATCTGCATGCAATCTATTTTTAAATGGTAAAAAAATGCCCTATTTTGTATGTAGAAATCTCTATCATGTCAGAGCAGGCTGTATATGTCTTTTATGTCCAATATTTTTTATTTCATTCAGAAGAATGAATTAGAATATTAATATTGACCTGCATTGTTTCAGATGGATGCAGACACAGGAGAAAAGGTGACAGAAACTTCAAAACATTCCAAGGAAGAATCTCAGAGACCCTTAATGGACAACAAATTTAGGTCAGTCTTATTGTTCCTTCCAGCCTGATACTGTATTTATGGAGACATAATGGTTTTTAAACTGAATGTGAAGGAAAGCTAAGGGCTCCTTATCTCTTAAGTGTAATTCACCGCGTTTGGGTTTCGCCATTGTACGGAGTTGCCTGTAAACGACTGAACTTGGACTAATGGCGGAACGGCTGTTATCCTCATATCTTTTTTAAAATCTCCTCAGGGGTCATAGCTTTAAAAGCCGTGGTCGAGGGGGTCGGATGAGTCGAGGCGGCATGCGTGGTGGGCGGGGCATGATGAAAGGGTTTGATCCACCTGGATATGGGAGGGGTCGAGCGAAAGATGGAGCCATGAATGGATTTGCACCCATGAGGTAAGGACATTTGAACTGTACATGGTGTTAGGGACAAATAAGATAAACAAATACCTTTGTTGTGTGCTGTATTTAAGATTAAAATGCTTAACTTTTATGGGTAAACTTCCTGCCCTTCCCTTGCAGAGGAATGAGGAGGATGCGACCTTACCCAGACCCCAGAGATCATCGGGGTCGGGTTGGACCAATGGGCATGGGCCCTCCTCCTCCCCCACTACCTCCCATGCATCTCAGAGGCCCCTTCCCACCCATGCACAGGTAACCACCTCACACACAATCATCCTACATGTGCATCAACGCAGGCTCATCTGTATCACTCCCAAAGGTTTCCTCTGATTGAAAAATGTATCCATGAAACTGTATTGTGTCGCTGTGACACTTCTCTCTGTCTCTAGGCACGGACCCCATCCACCCCCTCCTCCAGGTCATCCTGGTTTCAGAGGGCGTCCGCCACACCCTCGAGGCCGCAGCATGCTGCCCCCTGGACCTCCACGGCACTTCCACCCCCGCAGCCCAAGAGGGTAAGTGAATATTAATATCACGCTCAAGCTTTGCAAGTCACAATTCTCGGCACTTTCTTTGCTGCGCTGAATAGATTTAAAATACCTCTGATGAGTACTTGAGACGTGGTTACACCAGTTACATTCCTTTAGTTCTGTAAAGCAAATACGCAGTAAATTGTGAGACAACAGACTGAAGGTTGTGACACAATGCACAGTCCTTTCTGTCCCCTTTTCTCTTATGCTTCACTATAGCGTCATTTCTTTCACTTTAACCTTAAAAACTCTAATTATCACATTTCTTTCTCAGTTTGTCAAATAGAATCAATTATAAAGCCTTTTGCCCAACTCATTTGTATTACTACAACAAATGGTCAAAGAATGTCAACTTAGTTTGTAAATGAAAGTTATAATATCTGCTCAACTACATGTTAAAGCAGACTCTTAAATAGTGCATGGAATAATGACATTGGGAAAGACGTTACACTGTATTTGCCTTTGATAGGTAAGTGAGATGGGACGACATCCCCAACAGGAGTAGTTCAGATGGCTGCTCTTATCAGAGTGTGCCCCCTAGTGGCCGAAGCCAAGAATCCAATGTGTGATTTTATCCTTTTACACAGCTACCACAATGGACCGGTCTCTCCTCCTCACCCTCCACCTGGCAGAGGCCAGAGGTGGCCAGGGCCCCCTGGTGGCCGACGCTTTTAACACAGCCAGCCTTAAAAACCGTAACCAAACACTTGTTAATGTAGAAGGGGCCTAAGGTGGTGCAGTAAATGAAACGCCCCTTAATTATGTGTTACACAAAGTCTCCGAGTAGCTTCATGGCATACTCTGTGGCCAAATGTCTGCTTCTTGATATCGTCTACTGGCAAAGAAATAATGTGAAAACTTGACAAAATGACAACTTGAAATGCCTCACAACTTTAACAATGTAAAGGCATTCTGTTATCTTTGTTAAATATATGCTGTTGGTACTGTAGGAGCTATTTGACAATGTTGAGAAAAAGTTTGAAGCCGCTGTTCTCAAAGGGAGGAAACTTCTTGTCAAAGTTCATTAAATGTTCTGTGGTTCTTGTTACAGTCGCCCTGTGAGCCTTAAGAAGTTTTCCTAAATTGTAATAAAGAATTTAAAAAATGGGTGACACTGTATATTTAAAGCTGGGGAAAGATGTGTGAATTAAATTAATTTAAAAAACAGCTCTCGAGCACCGCTGTCCACTAGCGTTACACCTTGGACCTCTCTCACTTTCCTTCTTTACATAGAAATAGTTACAGTATTTAGTTATAGTAACTATTGTTTAACGCTGACACATTTTCCAAAAGAATATTCCACTTGTTAAGTATTAATGAGTATTTCATTTGATATTTTACATTGTTAATGTGCAGCTATTTTATGTTTTACCAGTATTGCTGTTTGGAACATTCATGTTTGTCTTCAGCAATTTATCTTGTAATGACAAAATGGAATAGACCTCACAAATGAAGTGCGGAATGAAGTATATTGAAATAGATTTCCAGTAGATTTTATAAAGCGAATTCCATTCGTATTTGCTTCAGTTAAGGACGAGAAGTTACTCTTTCCTGTGTCTAGTTTTTTAAGTGTTATGAATACTCTATTTGCTGTAATTAACTTAACGTTTGTGAACCTGTGAATGTGTTTGATGAAAACTGTCAAGACATATGACATAGTCAAAATAAAGCTAAAAATAAACTCTACTTTTCTTTATTTGTTCATTCACAAACCAGTCTGAGAGTTGTCATTATAATTTACAACATATTTGTAATATATGGGAGAGAATGAAATGTCAAAACTAGTACTGTACACAGCGGCACAGCAACACTGTTTCATATTTGGAAGTGAACATTTGATCCATGTAAATACCACTTTAAAATGCACATGATTATATCTTAGTGCTGGGCAAGTTAACACGTTAATTTCGCGTTAACGCATTCATTAATTAACGCCGACAATTATTTTATCGCGCATTAACGCATTTTTAAAATTTAATATAATTTATTTTTTTTAATTTTTTTATTGAAAGACAAGAGACAATACATATACATAACAACAAGAGGATGGCAAGAACAATGGGATAAAAGCCAGCAAACATCCTATAGTCAGTTGCGGTAAAGTCAGCAGACACAGTCATGTTAGTGCACCTATATGCTGAAATTCAAGGTAAATGCATTTAAACGGCACAGATCGGGAGCGAGCGGAGGACTTTGAAAGTTAGCGGAAAGATTAACGTGAGACAACATCCGGTTTATTCAGGCGAACATCCGGTTTTCAGAATAAGATGCCAACAAAGTATGAATTATATTCACATTAAGTATAAAACATGCTGCATCTCGTGAACCAAATGTTATTGCCCTTTTGTTCATATAGCAGTACTTTTAAAATAAAAGTGTGCAATACACTACTTTTGAATTCATTGTTGAACTTTGCCATAACAATGCGATTAATCGCAATTAAATATTTTAATCGTTGCCCAGCACTATTATATATATGTAGATATTGTGGATAAGTGTGGAGGACAAGAGCCCTTAATGAATACTCAGCTTCCTGGCGGCTGAAACTGCAGATAAGAAAAGACTTGGAAAAGTAATCTAAGTATTGCACTTTTAGTAACTTGAAAATGTACTTTGCTCACTGTAGTGCATCACCATTTATGTCACCGTGTTAATTCGACTGGAGGTTGAAATGCTTTTGAATGAACTTCAATTCACAGTTCAAATTCAGTGGTAGCGTGTCTAAAAGGAGGACATCATCTTCAAAGGATAAACACTCGGATATGACCAAGGACTAATTTTCTTGCTATGATAAGACATTGTCAGTAGTTTAATAATTTAATTTCACTTATAATTTCTAGAAAAATAAAATCTGCCATGCACGTATGCGTGTGTATGTGCATATAAAGTTGCGGTATTTTAATAGCAAAGAGTAGTAACACGTTATTAAATGAATGATGTAAGGACACCATCTCATGGGACATTGAAGAAAGTGGACACCAATTAAAAAAACTTTTGAGTTCTTAATGTTTTGCAAGCTTTATGAATGCATGTAGCTCTTTTTCCATAATGTGCTAATTTAGGCATACTTACTTAAAAAAAAGAAGTTGTAGCAAAACCCTGCTGTAATGCAAAACACAGTCATATGAAGATGCATTTAATATTAGTACTTTATGTTCTATTTACTGATGGCAAAAACAAGGATTTTTCATTATTTCAGAACATTTTATTCTGAGCCAATCACAGCTAGTATGATTAATAAATTAGCCACGACAGGTGTTCTTTTCCTCCGTCTGTCTTTTTCCATCTCTTCTGCACTTTCAATACATGTTGCTGCCTCTTCAGTCCCTTCTCATTTCTCCCTTTGGTTGATTATAACAGATTGACTGTTATTGTCTCCTGAAGGGGGGCACACAGCACAGGTAACCTCCCGGGCCCCCGGAACCCAGGCCCTTCCTCACATCTTTCCCCTCCTTCATCAGCGGCGTGACACTTCACTTGGACAGGTGAGTCTCCTCTTGTGTCTTAATCCCTAAACCCCTCCCTCTCTGATGCCGGGAGATTCTCTCTTTCAGGATAGAAGTTGAATCTAGGACAAAACTCAGTGAGACTCAGACGACTATAGCTCAATAGGTTATGGTTCTCTTATTAATGGCTACAAACAATACATTTCAGATGTTTGCTTGACTCACATGAAAGTACATCTGTACTGTGAGTTCTTAACAAGAATAGACAGTAAGTACACCTTGTGTTAAGTGTTAACAATACCTACGTAACCCTGCGAGGTACATCAAGTAGACACAGAATTGATGATTACGTAAGACAGCCATACCACCGCCAGATCTGTCCAAATATTACTCTAATAATGTGATTTGTATTGAATAGCTGGAGATTTCTCTGCAGCAAAAAAGATAAAGCTCCTCACCAGTTTACTTTGTGGTGATGACACACTGCAGTATATGATTTATGTCCGAGTGTCCTCTCCGTATGATGGCTTATTTTGATACAAAAAGAGAGGGGGTAGAAAAGTGTCTGCATAAATACGGGGACTTTTAACAGGAAATCTCCTTAAAATGACAGGAAGTATTTGCCTTCAATCACAGGAAAAGTATGCCGTGTTGTTTTCACTGTTAAGCAGAGGATGGATGTGAAATTAAATGAGTTTCTTTTCTGCTTTGTCTCAAAGATTTTTGTATACTAATAATTCAATAAATGCAAAAAATAAATGTCTTGTGTTCGGGTCTTGTGTCCTACAGAATAACAAATAATCCAATACCTCTGCAGACAGTTAAACAAAAACATTGTAATATTAATGTAGAAGTATTATTAAAATCATAACTCCCATTGAAGAACTGCACAAAAACGTGAGTTAAAGTTATTAGATGCAGAATTTATTTTATATATTGAAGAAAAGAAACAGAACATACAATGGATTCCATACTTTTTTGCCACAGCAAAAGACAAAACATGCCACTACCAGTAAGTGACAGTTACATGTTGATATTGATGACTGCAAGTTCTATAGCTGGCTCTTTTTGTGTCGTGTTCAAGTCTGTGTTGATGAAAATGTTCTGGAGAAAACACATCCAATAAGCATCCATTGCTTGTCATCACTGGCTGAGCTTGTCATCAATGGGGTGGTCCTCCCACATGGGTTCAAGGATGTGATCTGGAACCTTCTCCATGGCGGTCTGATAGCATGAACAAAGGGGAGGCAGGAAATTCAGCCCATTTGAATTCACAATTACATTGAGCAGGTGGGATTGTTGTGGGTGTACGACTGACTCTGCAGTAGCTCACCTTTGTCACCTCCATGGCCACACCTTCAGGGAGGTTCCTCTGTACGTATTCAAGGAATACCTGTGCTGTGCAGCCTGTTATATGAGACAGCTGCAACACAAGAGTTTAGAATCATCACATACCATTGTGAGGCTCAAATACCAAACATTGACTAATTAATTAATCATCACCTCAATGCACCGGTAGTGTGTCCTCATCTCATACTGGACTCTGTGGTTTTTGAAGATGTGAACTGACTTCAAGAGTGTAAATCTCTCCATGTCCTTGGGAAGTTCATGACTGTGGCAGAAAAAAAAAAAAAGATCAGCAAAATAATGTCAGTGAGAAAGATATAGATATATATATATATATATATATATATATATATATATATATAGATAGATAGATAGATAGATAGATAGATAGATAGATAGATAGATAGATAGATAGATAGATAGATAGATATATATATATATATATAGATATATAGATATATATATAGATACACTATAATACATTGCTAACATTGCTAGTGTCCCGTGTGGCAGATTACTCACACTTTGTTGATGGTGATGCCCAGCTCTTTAGCTGCCATGGAGGCAAACAACTCATAGCTGTCCAACACGGATCTGTCGTGACCTTTGACCAACAGTGACACCGTCTGAAACAGTGCGTCGGGCTCTTCTGTGACAGTGATCTGAGAGGAAACAAATGTAAACAGGAAACAAGATACATTGCACGTGAGTGGACATCTCACTTTTTTGTATTATGAAAATATTGAGTAGATTGGGATGAATAAATTGTACCGATAACTCACTGATGAAGGAGTTGATGAAAACACTGTTGCCGTGTGGAAGGAAGTGCTGGATGCCAATGGGAGATGGGACCTGCAGGAACAGAATGGTGAATTGTTAACATAAGTTTAGTACAAAGGATTCTGTAACTTTACTGTGTTTTAGTTTTGGCTTCACACTGAATCCTATTTTCCTGTTTGAAATAAAAAAAACATACAAAGCTCACAACATCCTTTGTCTTCTTGTGTGTCGGAGCAGATTTTAGGATCATTTAACTTGTTAAGAGATCAGTTAGAGCCACATACACGCTGCTATTCAGAACGTTAGACCGGTACCAACGATGAAGCCTTCTACACTTTTGAATGTCAAACTGTGGAATAAGCTCCTAAGTCATTAAATGCCATTCTTAATAATAATATAATTACATGTTTTACTTTTAAAAATTCCTTGTGTTTTTCTTTCTTTTGTTCCACATGTGCTTCTGCACTTTTCATTACATTTTATTTTTACTACATCAAATAAAGTGCACTCAAAATAAACTTCGTAGATAAACTTGAACGTGTGCAATGCTGCTTACACAATTTGTGGAGAAAATAGATAGATTAAAACCTCATATGGTTGCGATGATATATGCTGCCTCGCTGTACTGTAGAAAACAGCTCAAAAGGTGACTTCTTATTATTATTTTTTTTACCGTTATTACTAAACTACGTAGACTCCTAACGAGCGGAGATGAAACACTGTAACATACCTGATTATATTACATTTCCTGTGACCTGAACAGGCCCCCAACGCTCTCGGTCCCTGTAAGTAAATGCACATTAGTAACGTTAGAGAAGACATTTAACGTTACGTATTAACTGTCAGGGACACAACTGCGAGATGTCACATTAGTTAACTGTTAGTGGATGTTGTACAAATCAAAGAATATGTTAGTTACTGTACCGAATGTGAGATTCCTCCAAGTATCCTTGTAAGAGAAAACAATTCTCTTCTGACAGCCATGGGGGCAGCCATGTTTTTAAGAAGGTGGGACAGAAGAAGAAAAAAAAGAAAAGGTATTCTTCTTCTCCTGTTTTTGTGCTTATGGCGGTTGGTAAATAACGGTATGTCGCATTAGCTCCACCAAGTGGTATGGAGGGTGAGTTGCGACTCTAAATATTCACTAATTCAAGAAAAGAATAAAGTTTATAATATATACAAAATCTGGGACTATTAATGAAATACAAATGTTGTGAACTGAGCACCTGTGTAAATGTAAACAAAGATATAGTAGTTATATCACTGGTGTACGTAAAGCGAACTCCTTATCTTTGTTCTTTTTGCTAAGCAGTGCGAGACTCATACAACAAGGTCAGGAAGTGGCCTATCCACGGTGGTATTACTGATAGGGAACCCTTGGACTCATGTTTATTTCAGTTATTTCTAGCTCTTTATTTTCTGCTCGATTGTCCTTCCAAAACGTTTCGCTTTTCTTTTCTCCTTTTCCCAACAGGGTTTCAGTTTATGTTGTGTTAAATTATTTTAGTATGTCCTTTTAAATTAACCAGTTATTTAAATATAGCTATATTCCCCTTAAGTCAAGTGGCATTTCTCCCAATTGTTCCAACAGCACCTGTACATAGCCTCAAATACCAGGGTGTTGAATATTGTCTGAGTTTTTGAGAGATTTATTTGCTGCAGGTCTAAACGCTAAACACCCATAACCTAATACAAGTATATCAGACTTCTCATTACATTCAATACTTTCGTACACATGTCAATTATTAAAGCTAATCTAATTATTTCTAAAAAACAGTTCAGTGCAGCCCTGGAGTGTTAATGGTACCAGGAGGACAATCCTCATTGTTATAATTTATTTTTTTAAATAAAGATACACATTGACATATCTTACATGCTTTTATTCAAATACGGGCAACTCAAATTAAAAACCACAGACTGTATATAAGACGAGAAAAAAAATTGAGTTATTGATACGAACTGTGATAATTTAATTGGTCTAAATCACGTGTCTGTCACGTGACCCAGCTGTCGGGCCCTACCAGTGTACACAGTAGCAGGCTGCAGAAGAAGAAGCAGCAGCAGCAGCAGCACAGAGCAGAGGTAAGCACTTCACCGGTCGTTGGTGTCTCTCCGGCTTTGTTAATTAACTGCTCACTTTGTCAACAAGGCCACCGACCTCTGGGTACTATGAAAACCTACGTGCTAATATTTAAAAAACCGATAGGATAAACAGTGCTAACGTGCTAGCTGTAGCCTGTTAGCGACCAAGTGCCAGCGGCGGATGGACGGAGCTCAGTCTCCGCTGATGGTCGCTCAGGCTCGGCTAGCTGGTCGGTTAGCCGGTTAGCTACCGCTGGCTGTTCTTTGTGGAAGGGGGGGAGACAACACAGACAAGCTAATGTTCACTCACGGGCATGTCGGTTAGCTAGATTAGCGTCACTGCACAAAGACGATAGCTACATTTAAACTGTGGAGATTAATCTGCTGACATGTTTTGATCTATGGAGCCAACACAGCAACATACAGAATCTAGCTATCTGTTGCTAGCAGGCAGCTCACGGTGATGGTTGTTTGGGCTGTTTTGTCATCATCTTCACCTGGCTTCAATAGTATTTTAGTATTAAAAACGTTATTTGTCTTTCTTTGCATTAACGGAACAATAAACTGGCGTATGTTACACTTCTGCTGGAGCAGCTGTTGTACCGCCACCTGTCTATAATTTAGTTTTAGTGGAATAGATGTAGATACTATTTCTTTCTCATTACGACAGTTGACTAAACATCCACCGGGTCTCGTTTTATTGTCAGATGATTGTTTGTCACCGTTTCATTTGGTTTTCGCTTCGGTCTTTTATCACATTGAATTGTTACTGTCGCCTTGGTACATCAGTGCTAGCCTAATAAAACGGGAGCTAAAATGAAACACGGTTCTCCTGAATAATTCAGTAGTTAAATGTCCTTCCGCTGAGCAGGATAGTCCTCGAACTGAAGTGATTGCTCTTCACGACATGAGTAAGTGATGGTTAATTTTAGGTTAGCGCATTAATATTTAAATTACCGACAGTGGGTGGCAGGTGAGTGCTTCCACCGCTTTTACACTGTTCATACCTTTTTTAAATTTTTATTCTTTTAAAATAACACACGCTTGTTTACTTTCTTAGCGACAGTTCTGTGCGATACTGACGTCCTGTTTTTGTCTCCAGCAGTCCTCCATGGGATCCCCGAGGCGGGTTGTAAAGACGTGATGACGTTACCGGGAGAAGCTGATGGAGTCCCTGCTCCTCCTCTCACACACACACGGGGGCCGCATGAGGAGGACACAGAGCACTGACATGACACACTGAACTGGACAGAAACGCTACGAACATCAACTGGAACCTGGGTTTGTTTTTGATCACATGACTGGAGTCTGCAATCTTCCACAGTGGATTTCTAAATCCTTACCCGGTACACTCTCGTATGTTGCCTTGTCATTTAAACATCACCAACAAGGCAGCTCACGTGATCAAACGCATCACAATGACTTGAATGAGTGCCTTTTTTGTTGTGTATGCAGCCCATTCAGCTGTATGACATCTTCAACATAGCTTCGCTAAAGAAGTCCACAGTTTCGTGACCTCATTTGTACTTTTTTGGGAAGTGTTCACTGATCACCTTTTTAATCGTTATTGCAAATCACCGAGCTAGCCGAGGGAAAGCGCGAGTACTATGCACCGTTGTCGCTATCTCACATCTGACACTGAACCAGTGACTTCAGCGGAGGAGAGGCTCTCATAACGGTACCGACCCCTCCGAAGAACCCCCGACCTCCCTCTGGGTATTTTTTATTTTCTTCTTTTATCTACGGGGGTGTGGAGAGCTGCAGGGATGTTCGCCGCTGTGGAGCACGGCCCGGTCCTCTGCAGCGACTCCAACATCCTGTGCTTGTCCTGGAAGGGCCGCGTGCCCAAGAGCGAGAAGGAGAAGCCGGTATGCAGGAAGCGCTACTACGAGGAGGGCTGGCTCGCTACCGGGAACGGTCGAGGAGTCGTCGGGGTCACGTTCACGTCCAGCCACTGCAGACGGGACCGGCCCACCCCGCAGAGAGTCAACTTCAACCTCAGAGGACACAACAGCGAGGTAAGAGGAGTTTCCTGGGTAAATTACATTTATTGTCTTAAAGATATAACAAAGTACATACAAGCTTCTTAATAAAACAGCGATAGGACATTTCTGATTAGTTACTTAACCCATCTACCCTGCCTCGAGCTCAAACTCTACAAAGCAAATACATACAACACACGTTTCTCTACATTTATCCGTAAGATAGTTTATTGATCCCCCTTCAAACAGTCTGCTTAAACCTCCTCAGTCCCGTACATCTGGGATGCAAATGGCTGTTACCAGTAGCACTCTGGGCTCACAAAAATATGATTTAAAGAGTCGAGTCGGGGAAGATTTCCTTTCACTTTTTCCTTTCCCATGCTGCAGCGTCGGGTGAAGAGCAATGTCCTTGAAGCTGCTGGTCTCTGTACTTATTTAGGGCAGGTGTTTGTCAACAAGCATCTTGTCTAGCACAGAGGTGGTCAGGTTCACTTTAGTTAAAGGGGGTCCGAAAACCTGTGCCATGGCACGCTTAAGAGTTTCAAGTCTTTCTACAGCAGTTTATTTCACTGTTTTAACTCGTAACTAAATAGATAGTTTCACCATACACTCCGTGTGGATACACCCGTCAGTATAGCAGTGCTGGCACCAGTAGACTGCAAACAGGTTGCGTTTTCTCTCTTAGTGGGTGGAGCTGTTGGTCAGATGGAGCAAGGTGCTGTGTCAGCATCCCATAAGGCAGCTGAGGGGAGAGTGGATGAATCCCTACAGAGAGTGACTGAAGCGCAGCAGAAATGTCATTTAACTCTGCCCACTTGAATCTGGTCCAAGTACTGAAATTTCCCTTTTTATTATTTTTGGTGCATGCGGTGTGGAGGAGGTTAAGCCTACACAACTCAAATCTACCCACTTTTTTTTTTTTTAACATATTTGAATTTGACTTTATGCACTTATTTGGGCTGATTTAAATTCATTATGACACATATTGAACACATGTGCTACTGGGAGAAAAGTGCACACTGCCCTCAGCCCGGCACCAGTAATGAAAGCAGTAATGTCCTCTCCACTTCCACTCTATATTTGATATCAAGCAATAAATAAATGCTTTGGGAAATCCATCACTTGCCCACCCTATGCATAATTTGGGGTTTCTGACAGTGGTGGAAATCACACTGCCTAATGACTTTTGTCAAGCGATGACAGATGTGTTCACTCACCCACGTCATCTTCTATCTGAGGAGGAGAGAACGCTCTTTTCAGGATACAGGCCAACCTCATGGGTGATATAGAGTCTCCAATACTGTCAAACCAACATTAATTCATTTAAAAACAAAAATTTTTTTTTTAATGCCGTGTCAATACATTTGGGTAACCTTTCCTCATCTCAAAGAAGCTGCACACTCAGCAGTTACGTCCCCCGACGGTCCCGTCCTTTAAACGTCAGCAGCGTCATTGAGCACTTGTCGTCGCTGGTGACGAGTGTCCTTTCACGTTAATTGGCTCATGTTAGGTTATGAATGACTACACACACACACACGCACAAATGCTACATGAACCCATCCTGTGGGAGTCCAGTCCTGCCAAGATCAATACTCATGGCAGCGTCCTTAAGTTTGGCCATTATTCCTGTTTGATGTATAGATCAAAATGTCCTGTGATCATTTAATGTAAGCGAGCGTCTGAACGGATGTGTCTTTTGGACTGGGCCCAATACAGGCAATGTAGTAAAGTACAGGGCGGATCTTAAGCTGTCAGACATCTGTTAAGAAGAGGGCAGACGGGTAGAGGACCGGAGTCCTGCAGAGCTCTGCACCGCCTCTCCCAGGATAGAGGGTTTGATTTACACTGGGGTCCACCCAGTTTGCACTCATTGCACTACAAGATAAAAGCATGTTGTGTTGTGTAACTCGGCTGTTGTCCGGTTGTAGCACCTGTTCCTAGGACTCTCATGATGTTCTTCAGATAATGAAAAGGCCTGTAACATATCTGTGATTGTCGCTCTCTGTGTTGTTCTGTGGGTTGGGCTGAGAGAGATAATAACAAGGTAACGGCTTCAAAGGGAGCGAGGTGTGTGTGGTGCCATGCTCCTTTTGTTCCCTCTCCCACAGACATCTTTTCACAGTGGGCGTGAGGAGAAACTTCTTTTGTTTTTCATTGAGCTTGGTTGCTTAGCAGAAGTGCTCAGACTAAGTGCACAGTATCGCATATCTATAAACATTTTGTTCATGTGTTTTTGTGTGCATGCTTTCAATTATACTCCATGTCAACCATTAATTATATTATTTTATTGTCGTGGTTGTAGCCCTGTTTGATTTCGTATTGTTAACTGTTAAGCGTGGTTTATGTTGTGTGTGCTTATAGTTTCATGACATCAAAAAATGTTGTTCCGTAAGAGTTTTTTTTTGTATTAAAACACAAAATAACATTCATTTAAGTAACTTCTTTTAGGATGATTAAAAATAAAACATCCAGACAAATAATAGTTGTATTGAAAGAAAATGTATCCTCAAATGTCCTGATACTATTTTTATAGAATTTTCTAAACCGAGCGTCTGAACTTTTTATCAGCAGGTGTGTCCGCTGCATTACACGAGAGAACAATAATGTTGAAAATAGATGAAAGTGTCCCGTCTCTCTAAGTGACTATACCTCTGATGCTGCGGCGTTATTCCTCGGGGACGTGCATCAGAATAGATCAATGCCTCTTTTGACAATCCACTGCTTTTTTTTCCCCCCATCATCGTGCTCTCCGATGCTGAACAGACTGAGCAGACAGTCACTAGGAGTCCGTTCCTTCTCCACGAGAGCTGAACATCCCAGACAGGCTTGACAATGACTGTCGGCATGTTGACAAGGAGTTTGGGAAAATTGTCTGCCAGCATCCCATCAACTGCTAGCTGTGCCATTAGTCCTACGGTGCAATCATATATATGCTTTAATATTTAAAAAAGTACTTTTATTTCTAGTGAAAATATCCACTTTTCTAATACGGTTCCATTGTAGATTTAGTATGCTGTATGTTGCACATACTGTATAGTGGTGTTTATTTTGAAGTTTTAAAAGCCTTCTTTTGCTGCAACATCATTGGCCCTTGAGGGCCTTTCACACAGAATGCAATAACGGCACCGCTGCTCTCTGAATCAGTTATTTCCAATAAAGTTCGTTGCATGGTGTATGCTGAGCCCAGAAAGTAGAACATGAAGAGACCATCTCAAGGGGGGATGTTGTCACTTGTTTGTGAGTTGTTGAGACTAACGCCCCTTTTTAGTGTTGTGTGTCTACTGAAACTGTTGAAAACATGTGTTCATACACACCTCGCTACCCTTCCCATGAGTCTTAGTGGTGGGTTATTGCCCAAAGGCAGGAGTCCCACCTGTTGGTTTTCCCCTTTGAGGCCAGACCCGGGCTCTTCACTAAGGCAGAAAGGGACTAATTGTCTAAGGGCCTTTAAAAGAGACTGGCGACCCAAAGTGCACCAGCTTATGTTTACCCCTTCACCATGTGGGATCTACTTCCAGTGCTGCTTCTTTGGGTTGTTGTTCTCTGAAAATGTTTCATGGGGTTTGTTCACTGAGGGAATCCCAATCTCAGATGAACCCCACCACCGTGTCTTGGTGTGCTGTGTGACGTTTTCATACATTAAAAAGTTGTCTCCTGACGGAACCTCATAAATAAGTCTGTTTCGATGGCCTGTTCGAGAACCAGCACTGATCTGGGACATGCACAGTTGTTTTCTGTGGGCAGGGAGGAGGAAGAGTTTGACTTCTGTGGTGCAGTACAACTAACATGTCTGCTCAGACTTGTTTACAGACCATAATAATGGATTGCATGACAGGAATAATGCTGCATCATTGTTCCTGCTGTACAAGCAGAGGAAAGTCAGAGGAAAGTTGTCACTTTTAATGGGCTGTGCTGCATTTCAGTTTCACTCATCTCCATCACCACCTGTGTCCAGACACTTGTGTCTCGTCACACCGCCTAAGTAGTTCCTCCTTCTGCACCACAGCTCAGTCCTCCTCCTGTCCTCCATCATGGCCTAATCCCCTGTGCCGGTCACTATCCCACCTTTACACAAATTCCTTTAGAGCACTTTCTTCTGCTCTCTCTTCGTCTGGCCTCTTGACATCAGAAGCCCTGAGTACACGACCCATTCACCGCATTAAAATGGTCTCACCAAATGTGCTTAGTGGAAATGGGTTTAGTGGGCTAATCCATCCTCGGAGAGGACACGTAGCATAACACTCGGGCTCGGCTGCTCCCTCACATCCAGGTGGACTTGTCTGCTCGCTAGAACATTTCCAAGAGAGACAGCGTGGCCTGGACGGTGCAGGTTCTTCTTGCTATGAGTGGTGTTTGTAGTCGGGGTATACAGTAAAGAGCGTATAATTATCGTTTTATTCATCTTCAAAGAACGTGTAGGGAGAAAATACAATCAAATGTTCTGCAAACATTAAATAATGAATCACAAGATTTTCAAGCATGTAACTGTTTTCCCGTTGCTACTTTTTAAAATCTTTGCATCGTTCACACCCAGTGATAAGCAATGTAAATGCTATTATCGGATATTGGTATTGATTGAGGTTTTATAACTTATCGCACGCTTGCTCCACTCGTAAACATTTCAGATTCAACCTCTGCCGAAGGTCCCGCCGCCCTTTCCTTCACGCTGCAAATCACTCCGGGCATTTACTTCGTCCCATGCTGGCTTCCTTGCTTTTTGTATCGGCACAACGCAGCGCTTCTTTAATTGAGTTTTGCGTCTGATTTAATATCATGTCAGACCCAGAATCAGAGGGGGTGGTAGAGGGGGGTTGTACAGAGAAAGGGAAGAGCCTCTCCTTCCTGCTCGGTTGTGCTGAATCAGATTTTATTGTTTATGGTCTTGACTTTCCAATAATTCTTCACTCATTAGTCAAGCGTGGAACCAAGTGTTTTTTAGAAATGGTATTTTACTTTCTCTAATTTATGTTTTTTAAATCGATAAGTCTGTGTTGTTTCAACTGTTATTGTAGTCCTGCAATCCAAATTTCCAATATGGGACGATAAAGGCTAAACTGAACTGTACTACGTTCTTTTATAATAATTGTAACTATGACACATTTTCTGGCTTATTTATATTATAAACCCTTGCTTTACTTCAAGCATGTGTACTGCATGTGTAGTTTCATCTAACAGTATGCAGTGTCACATAGGTATAGATGTGACAAAACGATCTTAAGCTATACTTTTGAAGCATTGTGGTCGTATTCCACCAGTCCAGCCTACTCATCCTTAAGCTTCTTGCTAAAAAAAAATAAATGTACAACTCCTTCGTGCCAGGGACCAGTGCTGCCCTGGACCCGAGTGCTCACGACTGCGCCACTGTGCCGCTGCACCATCAGTGTCCTCTCACTTCTGCTGACTCCGATGTAACCCAAAGCTGTCCCTTGATTTGATTTGGTCTTCTCGGTGAAGTTGTTGGGGTCAGCTCAGCTCCCCGTCTCTCAAGTCCCAGCAAGAGGCCAGGGCTGCAGTGACGACAACACGGCGCTGCAGGAGGGAAGACGCTGCCAACTTCACAAGGAGAAGTTGTCAATGGCCATGCACGGGCCAAGGGGCAGTATTAAAGTATCGTAAACATGTAGTCTCCTCTTCTCTAGGTAGTGGTTTGCCTGGCTTGGAGCATGTGACTATAGCTGAGATGCACCGATTGCAATTTTCTTCGCGGATTCAGATTTGAAAGAAAAGTCAAATGTGCCGATTGCGACTTTCTTTCTTTCTTTCTTTTCATTCTAAGATCTATAAATGAAGGCATACATAATCACTGGATTACTCTGAGCAGCATGCAGGGGAAGGATTTTTACAATATAATATATTTTAATATATGAATCGCGGTTTCCCTGATGTTCTAAATTAGTTGCGTTTATAGAAAAGCCCCTAATTCTAGTGAAAAAGTCGGTAAGTTGGCAACAATGTGTGTGTGGCTGAGAGTATAGTTTACTGTCTGAGCCGCTGTGGACACGACCTGAACCATCTTGCGGCGCATGCGTGTAAACTTGGTCAAGCTGGAAATCATCCGATTCTGGCCAATCAAGGCTTTTTCAGTCACGCTGCACTCTTGAAATGTCAAATTGTGTTATATTTAATTTTAAGGTACTTTGAATGGGCCTGGAGCACACGGGCATCAATCAACTGCTGCATAGCGGTTCATTTGTGTCGGTACTTGTCTTTGACCATGCAGCAAATGATAACCGATGAAGATCTGCGTGTTTGTTCCTTTCCTGCCCGTGATCCCTCTGGCCCCTCGCTGTCCTGTGGCTCCTCACTCTGATCCCGTCTGTCTCCATGTGATGTCTGATCTCCCAGATCGCTGCGTCACAGCTCAGCTGTCCCCCTCGCAGGATGCCTGACCAGCTCACACTAATCTCCACGCTGAGCTAAATTTACACACACACACACACACAGTATTCTCACCTCCATGAGGCTGCAGATAAGTGTGCACACATGCAAGACACAGCATGTGTGAACCTTATGCTAATTTTGTCTCTTTTTTTCATTTTGGCACTTTTTTGTTAGTTTATGCACAGTGTATGAATGATGTTAGAATTATGCAAACTGGAGCTCCTACCTCATCTAAAGCCTCATGTATACACTGGCTGGAGCTGCGTCAGGTTGTATAATACCATCCGGAAAATCCGTTTAGCTCACCAGAGGTTGCAGACCGTGCACGAGTGGAGTAACAACACTGATCTGTAGTCCCCCAATGAGATCCTTGAGCATGGAAATGTCTTCTCTTTGACAGTACTACGGCTGAAGCTGGTCAGCTTTGTGACCAACCGAGCACTGTAAGCTGCATCAGGTGACTGCTGTGGCTGAATGATGGATGGAAGGCCGTTTTTTTTTGTTTTTTTTTAAAGGTCCGTGATTATGGTCTATTCACATCACAATGAAATGGCAGCGGACCTGCAACGGGCCGGGTCTCGTTGTGTCCTCCTCCCTGCAGTTTGCCAGCTGAGACACACCTACAGATGCAACATTAGGATTCATACCACTGGGATTGGGAGTGAAAACACAGTAAATCTGGCTCACAGGACACCTTATTGCTGAGGGAGCGGGGCCAGGAGAGCGATGAATCCTACTGTTCGCTCATTACGCTGGAGGGCTGCACATGGTGTATTCATATAAACATGTTTGTGTGAGACGGATCACTTTAAGTTCACCTAGGATAACCCCGTCTTTTATCACTGCAGACATTTAACGATGCACAAGGCGGTGGCTGGTGGGGAATTGTTGACAACCCCTACAGAATACATGTGATTGGTAACAGGAGTTACCTCAGCATTGTTGCTGCTATTGCATAGAAACAACTTCTACTCATGAATGTTCCCTGTTTGAACTTTATTTATAGGAGCATTACTCATGTACAGTGAACTGAAAATTGCTTACTATATAACTTACCGTAAAACCAGGACGAAAGCTACCTGGGATTTCTTCCACCACATTCTGGTGATTATTAAACTAACTCCAGCCTGGCGTCAGACAATTTGTTTCCTGTTTTCCCGACATTGGAGTCTCATGGGCAGGTGATGTGTTGTGTGTGTTAATACTCTGGCACATGCCCAACAACTGGAGAAAGTTAAGGGCCTGGGGCCACACATTTTCCTGAGCTATTATTTTCAGGAGTAAATTGATCCACTTTTTTTTCTTTTTGCTAATTTGTGTTTATTGGGTAGCTTTCTTCGATATACACTCAAGATATTATATATATATATATATATATATATATATATATATCTCATAGATATTTCGATGCCACCTAACCTCTTGGATTTCATCAAGAAACAGCCAAAAGCACTAGTTTAGATAAGTTAGATTGAGGGTTTTATGAAAACCAAGCATCAGCATATCGTGACTAAGTTTCTTAGCGACAGTCCTGCCTGCATGTGCACAGCGAAAGCAAGTGGCCAAGAACTGCAGTTCTTCAAATAAATACTTTAGGCTGGCTCTAAAAGTGAGTCAATCTCCATAGATGCCCATGTTAAAGTCCCCAAAGCTTCATTTATAACGTTATTATTATTATTATTATTACTATTAACTTGGGCTGAGTGTCTATATCGTGTTATATAGCGCCGGTGTCTTTTTTTTCAGAGCGCTCTGACGGCTTCCCACACCAGACATTCACAGCTTCATTCAAAACCTCAGTATGTTTTGAATGTGGGAAAAAAAGAAGACATTTGGTTCAGCCCGAGTAGAGACGCTGTGCTGCAGCAAAAAAAGCCGCTGACTGAGATTACCTTGATCAGCATGCATGGGAATAAATTACAATATGACAGATTTGTGTGTATTTCCCACTTTCCCCCTGATGGTGTGAATAACTGTTGCGCTGCTCTGTCTTGTCTGTCCGTGTGCTGTCAGTGTCCTCTTTTCGCACCATGACAATATCGGTTGTGAATTTGTCTTTCTTCAGGTTTCAAAGTTTATTTATTTGTAGACAGACCAGTCCGGCCTGATTGACGGGCATATTGAGGGAATATTATTGTTTACTTTGTTTTTTTTCTGTAACTTTCTCTTCTCAGACACAAAAACAGAAATGTAGTCTGAACATTTGATTATTAATTAATAACACCTGTTCAACTGGAGCATGGACAGATGGGACTGTGTGTTTGTCTCAGGGGTGAGGAGGGGGATGGTGTTGTTGGGGGGGGGGGGGGGAAGAGCAAGACTGGGTGGCTTAGCCAACTCTCAGCCACTGATCTGTTGGACTTGCACTCAGAGAGCGTAAGCCCCGGTAAAACCTTCCCTGTGTTGAGTGTTTCAGCCTGTACAGCCCACGTGCTTCACTCAGCAAGAGCAGAGCTGCTCTCTGTTTCGGATTATTCAGCAGGGAATAGGCTGAGTCACGCTATAAAAGACCAGGCAGATAGACACACAGGGAGAGGGGGTAGGATGGAGACCGTAATGGGTGCCTTAGAGATGGATGACGCTGACAAAGAGAGATTATGGACAGTTTGATTTATACTGTTCTCTGCCGCTGATCCAAACTTCTTCCCCTGCAACTCATTTCTTAGGCAAATGACCATCCGTGTCTATAGCTACCTCTGGGGCCAATGCAGAAACCCATGTTTCTGTGTTAGAGGCTATACAGTTTACTATATGCCCACAATATAGTGTTGTCTGTAGGGACGTTCATGCATCAGTGCACCTTCTCTTTTAGATTACATTTCCCTTTAGTTACAAACTAAATGCTTTCTATAAAATTATGATCGAGACATAAGTTGTGCATGAAAGATGCACAACATCAGAAAGTATTCATCAGAAAGTATTAAGTCCCAAACAAGGAGGAACTCTCAGAAATGCATGTTATACGTGTGGTCTGGTTTGGCAACACATGAATCTCATTGTTTGTAATATTCAGGATATTAGCAGCTCCTTTGCAACTTTTTCAAAATGAGGTTGACCCACTTTGATATATATTTTTATCTGGTTCAATGCTAAATTTAGCTCATTGAAATGTGGGAACTTGGTTTTTGCTTTCTGGATTTGAGGCGTTTCAGCTGATGCCCCAATTTGGAGCGACTTGCGGCGAGTGTGCAGACAAGAGTTCAGAGTTTTGATCAAGGACACTCTGACAAGACATGGTGTTGTTGATCAACTCTCATTATCTGTTGTAGTTAAAGGAGCAAAGCTGTGTCAAAGGAAGGCCACTGCTAAATTCTTTTGTCCCCTTTTCTTTTTTTTTTTTTTTTTTTTCCTTCCCTTGTTTATTTTGTCTTGAAGGTGGTCTTGGTGCGATGGAACGAGCCCTTCCAGAAACTGGCCACCTGTGATACAGACGGAGGGATCTTTGTTTGGATCCAGTATGAAGGCCGCTGGTCCGTGGAGCTGGTCAATGACCGTGGAGCGCAGGTAAAATACACTACACAGAAATGGGACATGAACTAAATCACTAATTTAAAAACTGCATTTTTACTTTGACATTGAATTAGGGCTGGGCGAAGTGACTTATAAATAATATATCAATATTCTGGGTGGTATTTATTTATTATTGACAGACGGAGGAGGGTGGAGGGTCGGTTTTATTTTGAAGTCAGATCTTGCTGTAATGACTAGTACATACTCATCCAGTAAAACAACACGGGGAGCTAGTTTTACCGTCTCTTTCCATTACCGTTTCCTGAATACCGTTAACTGGGAAAACCTCCCAGACATTCCACTTGCTGATTTTGATGATAACTGCAAAGCGAGGTACAAATGGTAGGACTGATCCATCAACCACTGGCATCTGCTGAGCTGCGTCTGACACATTGTGACGGCAACTTATTATTTTATGATCAAGCTAGTTGGTAGATGACAGTCTGAACAATAGCTTCTCTCTTTAAACACATGGCCTATACAGTTTGAAATGGCCCCTTTGAGGTTAAGATTTTATTTCATACAAGTATTCATTTTATACTGACATTAGCAGAGTCATTATTTCAGTTGAGCGAGACCCTTTCAGTATTAACAGTCTGCAGGAGGGCATGTATTGTCATTTACCTTATCATGTGGTATTCTGACAGCACTGGTCACAATACTGGGAAAACACTAGTGACAAGTGTAAATGCCTTGCTAGCGGATCCTAAAGGCGGTTCTCCTCTTAACATCTCGTGTTTTTAAATTCTCATCTTTGCCATCATTAGATATTGAGAGCACCTAAAATACTTGAACACTGTTCATGAAGACCAGTTTCTCACTTGTGCTAAATAGATATCTCATGACATTTGACAGTGTTTGCTTTACAGAATAGGTATTAGTTAATTGCTAACAACTGATGTGTCCGGTGCTCTGTAGGTGAGTGACTTCACCTGGTCCCATGATGGTACCCAGGCTCTTATCTCCTACCGGGATGGCTTTGTACTGGTGGGATCCGTCAGCGGGCAGAGACACTGGTCCTCTGAGATCAACCTGGAAAGCCAGATCTCTTGTGGTATCTGGACCCCCGATGACCAGCAGGTAACACACACAAACACGCACGTCCCACAGAACTGTGACGGGTGCAACGTGTCCGCTTAGCGCTGTGCCAGCCTTTGAATGCTAATAGACGTAGAAGTTTCCGGTTGTTATTTTCCACTTTTATGTATGTGGACTTGTCCCTCGGAAGGCAGAGACGGGCCCTGAGGGAGATCCTCTGAGTGACAGCAACCGTTCTCTGTCTTGAATGTTTTGTGAGGCTATCTATGTATTTGCTTTCATGCTGTTAAGTTGTCAGCTCAGGTTAGACATCATTAAACTCTGTCTCTGGATGCGTCTCTGCCTTTGTTCATCGCCTTCATCCCATTTACCAGTTATTTTCCGTGTGATATGCATTTCTTCCGGCTTTCTTTGCTCTCTATCCGTCATCTCCGTGTCTATTTCTAAGTGTGCCTGTCTTCTGTCCCAGTGAAATGTCTTGTTGTTTTGTCTCTTTCTTCTTCTCCCTAATAACCCTCGACTATTTCTCTCTAGGTGTTGTTTGGTACTGCAGATGGACAGGTGATAGTGATGGACTGCCATGGGCGCATGCTGGCCCACATTCTGCTGCATGAGTCGGATGGCATCGTCGGTATGTCCTGGAACTATCCCAGTTTCCTGGTGGAGGACAGCAGTGAGAGCGACACAGACTCTGACGACTACTCCCCACCGCAAGGTAAGCATCTTGGGGTTAGATATGAATAGACGGCTCTTTGTGGCGTCTTCAGACACACAACAAAAATGCCACGATGAGACCTGATGTAAGTGTATAATCTGATGAAGAACTGGAGATAAACGGGTTTAGCTGGTAAGGAGTTGCGGCTATAAGGACTTTAGTGGAGAGCTGGAGTAGTTCAGCTGTTTCATACGTAGGTACCTCGGTGCAGATGTGGGACCATCTGTTAGCTTCTAGCTCCGCCCACCTTTTACCTCCATCTTTTACTGCGCCATCAATTCGTCCTCATGCTCTTAGTCCTTCGGGAGGGGGAGAGATTTCCAAAGTTGGGGGCACCAGGTGGAGAAACAAGTTATGGCTAGTAGGTCTGCGCTATGTCGTCAATAGCAACCTCGGCCCCCTGGTATTCCCATGAATATTTCATACTCTGAAACACATAAACGGTGCCTGGGTTCTCTGTCAAGTGATTAGATAAACATGAGGACCATATCTATGAAGGACATGTAAAAGACAAAGCTGCATACGTCTCAACACGCTGCACTTTTGACTGTCTTTTTGATGTTTGGATGTCTTTCTTGAGAAAACAGGGTTGTATGCTCTGTTCTTGAATAAGGCACCAAACTTCTATTTTGTCTGGAGTATACTATTGGACTAAAGTGGAAAATGTGTGAATTGAAGCTTATAGTTGGAAGGATAAGTCATTAGAAGGATAAGTCATTAGAAGGATAAGTCATTTGTGATGCTGATCTCACGGGCGATGAGAGACATTTAATGAAGCTTCAGAAGTGGGAAGGTGACTATTCAACGATTTTCCACTTCTCTGCCAGCGGTGAAGACGGGGAGGGAGAGACGCATTAAAACAAAAGAGTGTGACCAAATGGAAGGTGGGTGGGGGGGGCTGCGTTGAAAAGATGGAGGGCAAGAGTTTGAGGAGGAGGAGGAGGAGGAGGAGGAGGAGGATTGAGCTGACGTTGCCACTCTACCTCCTGTTTGCTCTGAATGCTGCAGTAGCTGTTGTCATACCGGGAGGTAGTGCCATCCTAATCATGTGCACACATTACACATGTACAGGGATATATAGTCGGTGATGTCTATAATGTGAATCCCTGGATATTAAATGTTTCTGTGGTGGCCCCAGTAATATTTTGTATAAGAATTTGATTACACAGGCAAAATGTTACTAACACATAGGTCGATCTCCTCCTGTTCTTTGAAGCATTTAAACAACTATTGTATTCTATTTAACTCCCTCTCACACACTTTTACAAAACACTTTTATAAGGACGCTTTATTACATACTTTATTTAGATTATTTTATGGCCTTGAAGCCGTCATGTTGTCAGATGTATTGTAACTAATATCATGTTTTACAGATACAGAACTTTTGTAGTGGGGAAAAAAGTTGATTTATTTGGCTATAAAAATAAATTTACAAAATATTATATTTTCTTACTTTTATCAGGTGTGAACAGACACACTGGTGTTGTAGCCGTAGTGCAAGACAGCGTTCAGACACCTGTCATACCAGCGGCAGATATCGCAGTGTAACGGTGTGCATTACTAGACTCTTCACGTACGACACACTGACGGTATACTCAAGTGGACAATCGCAGCCTATACCCAGAAAACCTGGAAAAGGAAATGAATCATGAATGAAGATGCGATAAGCATCTCTTTAAAATGTACAATAACAACACCAGCTGTTTGTACAGTTGTGCAATTAATGTGTAAATCTGTCCTCACTGTATTCTCAATGGCGCCATCTTTAACCCAAATCCCCCAGGACTACCCCATAAAAATTTTACCTGCAATGTCAATGATGGAGCCCTTGTACTTGTGTGCTGCGTTGACACAGTTGACTGCACACTATCTTTAGCATTAGGAGAGTGAGAACAAAAAAAAAACGTTGCAAGATAAACACTTGCATCCCACTTTTTCCTCCAATGAACTTGTGTTCAGAATGTCATAATTCAAATATTTGCAGGTCATGTCAGCGTTTCTATTTTTTTTTTTTTGTGCCTTCCTGTGCTAACGGCCTACAGACATTTACAATGGTAGTAATTAAGAACAGTTACCGGTGAGCCTGAGTGTATCTGGTGAGTTCACTGTCCAACATGTAGATGACCAGTGTGTATCTGCTGCACTGGGACGTGAGCAGCCAACCAAGAGAAGAGTTGTTATGTGGTTCGCTTTCCCCACATTCTTGCTGCTCTCACCGCCTCGTTTTTATTGGTTCCTGTTTTGTCTTTTTGCCTCCTTTTTTCTCTTGAGCCTAATTAGTCCCAGTTGCTAAGGCTGTAGTGGTGAGGGTCCGTCCTCCTCCTGCTGTGCTATTTTTTTCTTTTCTCCCTCACTTCCCCGCAGGCCACGCGGTAAAGCTGTAAAGTGCTTGCCTTAGCTGGAACACTGATTATGCTCTAACTCACTAATTTAACCGGTCAATAGTAATTGATTGGCCCCGATAGAAATTAGCTCTCAAGTCGACAACCCGACTGAGACACTAGACCGCCTATTCCTCCTCCTGCCAGATCTCTCTATCATGATATATGATGATGACCCATTATCACTGCACTGCACAGCACAACACACTGCATTTACAGCAGCACCATACATCTCATTTAATGCAAAACCCCATTTTGAACTGATTACTAATGAGAAGTAGTAACTGTAGATTGTGGATGTAATAAGTAATGTAACTTACTCTCTGTTTTGTCAAACAAAGTTAAACCCCAAGATAATGTTAATGTAGAATGAATTATTGCATTTTATTCAGCGCACAGGTGTGTATCATTTTAACACTAGTCTTTCCTGGATAGACATTGATTGACATCCACTATCCACTACACTGAAAAGGTGTATTTCTTTATTTACAGATTATACCGTGTACTTTAAACTGTCACACACCTCACATTGCCTGTTTACAGTGTTTGTGTTGTACTTGTGTCTCTTCCCAGTGTACAGCCAGAAACCACTGTTAACAGTCAGCTTCACTTCTGGAGACATCAGCCTGATGAACAACTATGACGACCTCACTCCCACCCTCATCCGCACCGGTCTGAAAGGTGTGTGGGTATCTTATAATTAATGCACGCCCAAGTGTTCCAGCAACTTTGTCTAAATTGCCTCCAAATGTAAATTCTGCATGACATTTTGGTTACTTTGTGCTGCAGATGTGGTGGTCCAGTGGTGCTCGCAGGGGGACCTCCTTGCAGTGGCGGGGATGGAGAGGACCGTCCTCTCCAACGAGCCCTCCTGTCTTCCCACCACCAGGAACGCACTCGTTAAGTTCTACAACGTTCGGGGTGAACACATCTACACACTGGACACACCAGCACAGGTGATCAACTGTAACAGGGTCAAACCTGGCTAACGAGTAGTCTGTCAACGTAGAATTGTATGTATTGTATTTCCCTTCCTCCAGTGATGAGACTCAATATGTATTTGAAGACCTAAGATGTCACTAGAAAACCTAGAAAAGACAGTTAAATTGGGCTCTTTGTCAAGTTTGTAGTAAAGTAATAGACTAACATAAAGTCAATTTAGAAACTTGACTGCTGTAAACAACACAAACTTAAGATGCTTATTTGTATTGCAGAAGACTGCTTTTCTCAGAATTCGCTCTAAGAAATGTACTTTAAAAATCCAAGTTCAGTAAAGACTATAACAGTCAGAAACCTTAACATCGACCCATATTTCATGCTGGACATTAACATTGTGGAAGGATGTAGTGCAGAATCTAATAAATGTGGCAAAACAATCTCATCCCGCTCTCCAATGCATCTCCTCTGTCGCCCTGCAGCGCCCCATCACTACGCTGTGTTGGGGTCACCGGGACTCTCGTCTGTTCTTGGCGTGTGGCTCGGCGCTCTACGTGGTGCGAGTGGAGCACCGCGTCGCCAACCTGCAGCTACTCTGCCAGCAGGGCATCGCCACAGCAGTGAAGGAGGAGAAAGACGTTGCCAAGCTCACCATGCCTTCCCGCCTCTGTTCTTACGTCACAACTGCTTTTGTCCCAACCATCAAGGTAACAAAGAACAGGAGGGCTTTAGTTTACTTTATGCGCAGCATTGCTTTCATAGCTTTCTGAGATTAGACTGCTCTCCAAAGCTAAGCATAACAAACGTATACAGCAGTACATTTTAGCTCATGCTAACACGACAATTTCAGCTAAACTGCAAACTCATGTTTTGTCTTCCAGCCCCCCATCCCTGATCCCAACAACATGCGTGATTTTGTGAGCTACCCAACAGCTGGAAACGAGCGTCTGCACTGTACCATGAAGCGTACGGAAGATAACCCCGAGGTGGGGGGGCCGTGCTACACTCTTTACCTGGAGTACCTCGGAGGGCTGGTGCCGATCCTCAAAGGTCGTCGAATAAGTAAACTGCGTCCAGAGTTTGTCATTATGGACCCCAAGACAGATGGGAAAACAGGTAAAACTAAAGTTCCTCCATTTTGGCAACCTCACCGAACAAAAACAAAACACCAGTTAACATGTTGCCTGATTAGAGTGTACGAGTTAAAATAGCTTTTCTCAACGGGGGGCGTTCAGAAAAGTGTGTTTTTTGTTTTAAATCATTCCAACATGTGTTGACTCAGCAGATATAACAGTTTATATTCCAATATGTTTTCTATTTTTCTTTAATCATTTCTTTCCATTTAAATACTTTAACTTGCATAACGTTAAAGTATTTTAAAGGTGTTACTCCCATGTCCTTGTTCAGTGAGCTATTACTGCCTTCTGTAAAACTGACTTGGATTTAAAAGATGTTCAAGAACCAATTTTATTTTTCTATGTTTTTGATAATAATCATGATTATGTGTTTAAATCATAACATACATCCAGTATATGTTTTACTGTTCGTAACGATTCAAACAGAACTGCTAAATGTATTCCTTATAGACACGTTTTCCTGCTCCAGTGCTTTTCCAGTTATTTGAGTATTCTTGAGTTGGCACTCGGAGAGCGAGTATGTTTTAGTCACATAGGGCAGACTGGGCCCATGTTAATTAAAAGCTGCTTAATGGGGGCTCTGATGGCCCCTGGGTTTCTCATAAATCAACCCGCACCCTGCCCACACAGTGATAAATGAAGCCAGCCATGAAATGGTTCCAGCCCATTCACACTTTAATGCCCATCAAATAAATTAGCTGGACCTAAACTGGAGCAGCAGTGGTTCAGACTCCATATGAATGAGGAAAAAGGGAAGAATTGAGACTACTGAAAATAGGGTTTGCACTGAATGGGTCTAAATGTTTATCTGTAGAAATGGGTGAACATTGCTGCTGCCATCATGTTTTTAAACAACATGAAGGTGCCTGGCTCTAAGTTGTTAAAAAAGACTTCCTGCAATGCCAACTTTATTTAGTCCTCGGGATAATACCCTTTGAGACAGCAATATTATAAACATTTTATCCAGAATCAAAGTATGATTTTTAGCATCAAGGTGGCATCGGTTTGCTGCATCATTGTAAACGAGAGAAGAAATAATGCACAATAGTAAACTTTATCTTGAGATCTACACATTTCCAATATATTTACTCTAAACTGACACATTCTTTCCATCTGCCATCTTGTTTTCTCTCCTCAGATGAGATGTACGGCAACAGTCTGATTACTGCCATGATCGACAGCTGTAACTGCTCAGACTCCAGTGACATTGAGCTGAGTGATGACTGGGTTGGCAAGAAGTCTCCAAAGATATCCAGGGGTAGCAAATCCCCCAAACTGCCCAGGTAACCAGACACCTGACCTGTGTGTACTGTAGCATGCCATCTTTAACTGCATTTCCTTTATTTATATGGGACATAGCAGCCAGTGGTCTGTGTGAAATGAACACATTAATACATAAATCAAGTCAATGTTTGCTTTGCATATTTAGTCAGATTGAATAAGGAAGCTATTTTTGTCGCCATTTCAATTCTTTAAAAACATTTCCCACATGATACCCAGTTATTCTGTGTTTGTTTAGGTGCTTCTGTGTCAATAGTGTGGCATCCCGGCAGTTATTTAACTCTTAACCTGCGTTCCTATATTATCAACCCTGAACATGAATGTGCACTGGAATGTTTTACACTTGTTTATTGGTTCACTGCATGCCTAAACCTTGTTTTTGTATTTGCTACCTTCTCTGTAGAGACTTAGTTTGTCCCTTTACCAACAGGATCAACATTGATCCCAGAAAATCGCCCAAACTATCTCGCACTACACAAGAGATATCCAGGTCACCGCGGTTACCTATACGAAAACCCTCAATTGGGTCACCGAGTCTAACACGGAGGGAGTTTCCTCTAGATGACATCACTCAGGTAACACAGCTGAATTCAGTATTTTCTTCTTGTTTGATGATAAGCTCACACATTTCTCTATTAGATATGTATTCTGTCAATTATTTTGAATGTTTTTATAAGTAATAATATTATCTTTGTTCCTGTCTTGTAGCAAAATTACCTTGCTCAGGTCACATCCAATATTTGGGGAACAAAGTTTAAGATTGTGGGACTCTCCGCATTCTTGCCAACTAATCTTGGTGCAGGTAACCTCAACAACTTCTCCATTAGCGATTAGCATGAAATAATAAATAGATGTCATTTTAATTTGTCCCATTTGTGAATTGTCTTTATTGTTATAATTCATACTCTGTCTCTCTCCCCTCAGTCATCTATAAGACAAGCCTCCTCCATCTACAGCCCAGACAGATGACCATCTACCTGCCAGAGGTGCGTAAAGTCTCTATGGACTACATCAATCTGCCCGTCTTCAGCCCCAATGTCTTCAGTGAGGATGAAGACGACCTGCCCGTCACGGGCCCTGCTGGTAGCACCGATGACAACCCGCCCTGCACGGTCAACATACCTATTGCCCCCATCCATAGTCCCGCCCAGGCCATGTCCCCCGCCCAAAGCATTGGACTGGTCCAGTCACTTCTAGCCAATCAAAATGTTCAGCTGGATGTCCTAACGAATCCCACAGCCACCCCTGCTGGGGCCTCTGCTGGTGGGTCAGACCAAAGCCAGGACACCATCCTGACAGCCCAGTACACAGTTCCCACCAGGTACACCAATCCTGGTCAGGTCATCTTTGGGGGACTAGAAATGAGTCGCCTAATGGTGGGACCCCCACCTTCTCATCATCCTTCACAACAACCGCAACAACAGCCAAGCCACCACCATCAACAACAGCAGCAGCAGCAGCAGCAACAACAACTACTACAACACCAACAACATATTCAGCACCAGCACCAACAGCTTCAGCACCAACAGCAACTCCAACAGCAGCAGCAGCAGATACTCCAGCACCAACACTTACAACAGCAGCAGCAGCTTCAGCAACAGCACATTCAGCAGCAGCTCCAACACATGCAGCAGCAGCATCAACATCAGCTCCAGCAGCACATACAACAACAGCAACAACTACAACAGCAGCATCAACAAATTCAACACCAACTGCAGCAACAAATACATCAACAGCAAACACAGCAGCAGCATCAGATGCAACAACAACAACAGCAGCAGCACCATCAACATCAGCAGCAGCAGTTTCAGATTCAAATCCCTGTTCCTTCTATGTCATCTGTGCTCCAGCAGGGGGCGCTGCAGATACAGATCCCTCATCCACCTGCGGAATTACTGCTTGAGAGAGCAGTGGGGGGTGAACATGAGCACCTACTGAAAATCAAAACCACTCGGTCAACTCCACAGCTGGCTGAGGGTGATACAGTGGTGTTCAGTGCCCCTCTAGAGCTCAGCAAGATGAACCCCCCACCCCCTTACCCTGGGACAGTGGCTGCCGCAGTGGCTGCAGCGGCGGCTGCTGCTGCTGCAGCATCAGCCGCCGCTGCAGCCTCCAATGCTGCATCTGGAACAGGAGGGAGCACCAGTGGGACTCCTCCCCCTGGGGACCTTTGTCTGAAGAAGGGAGAGTTATCACTTTATCCTTCAGGTCAGCAGCAAGCGCAGTACCCCACACCACTGGGATATGAGAGGATAACGACGTTTGACAGCAGTGGGAATGTGGAGGAAGTATGTCGTCCTCGAACGCGCCTTGTCTGCAATCAGAATGTTTACACACTCCAGGGACCTGGCAGCTCTGCCACTCTCAGGGTCACCTCCTCCTCCTCCTCATCCTCCGCCTCACAAGACAAGAAGATCCAGCTTCCCTACACCTCTGCAACACTCAACAGACTCACTGCACCTCGCTATTCCATACCCAGTGGAGACCCGCCCCCATACCCTGACCCAGCCAATCAGAACAGCGCTGTCGGCAGGAACCCTGGACAGAGGCTTGACAGCAGTCTGATCCATGCCACTCTCAGGAGGAACAGCCGAGAGGCCGCTCTCAAAGTTTCCCAGATGCTGGAGCCGCCCAGACCATTGCCTCCTAAGGCTAAAAATAATAGTGCACTAGCAGCCTCGTTCCAGCAGAGGGTGCCAACAGCCTTATACACCTGCAGTCAGTGTAGCAGTGGATCTAGTGTTGGAAGCACTGCCCCAGGGAGCACTAACGGAATAGCAGGAGGAACTATTATCAGACAGGATTTCCCTCCAGGGAATGGGGCGCCACACAGCACAGTTATTGTTCACTCCAACAGCACTACTCCTCTGGCCTCCCAGTCCTCTTACAGCCTGCTGAGCGCTCTTGAAGGATCTGGTTCTTCAGCAGCAGGAGGAGGAAGTAACAGAGACAGGGGTGATTATGTAAATTCAGCATTTAGTGAGGATGAAAGCCTGAACCAGTCACTGAGGAATCTGGCGCTAGGAGGAAATGATGCACCAGGGCTGGTTGTCAAACGCCCACCTCCCTATCAGTGGGACCCAGCTGCCACGGAGGAGGTGTGGGTTCCTCAGGAACGGACAGCAGCGCTGAATCCCACCGGACCCCCCGGACCCCACAAACCACCCCCACTTATTCTTAGCCCAGCTCAGCACTTGGATCTGTCCAGGCTGCCTTTTGTCCTTTCTCCAAAGTCCCCCACCAGCCCAAGTGCTGCATCATTTCAAGCTGCTGCAGCAGCTGCAGGCTACCAAATCTCTCTCCAGTACCCTCCAACAACTGCCTATTCTGGAGCCCAGCTACAGCCCATGCCGGGGTCACCATGCCCCTGCTCTTCCCCAAAGGAGATGGTGGCACCTGTACCCTTCTCACAACAGGAGGCAACCCTTGTATTACCGCCTGGTTACACTGCAAACCTTGCAAACCTAGCCTGTTGCCCACCCATGTATCCAGGAGGAAGTGCTTGTTCCGGGCTCCCCATTCCCCCTATTTCCCTTCACACTCCTTGGGGTACCTATAATTCTTGCCCGCCTATGCCCAGTCCTGCAGTGCCACTACCACCCAAAGCCTCCCACATGGCCATAGACAAAAAGGTCCTTTCGCCGCCGCCTCCTCCACCACCACCCCCACCGCCACCACCAGCAGAGCTGCAGAGCCATGGAGGATTACAAGAGGCCATGGCAGAGGCTGGGGAAGGTTTTCAGGAGGTACTCTCCTTGACTGAGAGCCCCGTCCCACAGCGGTCCGAGAAGTTCAGCAAGAAGAACCGCAAGCGGGTTGATGGGCGCGCTGAGGAGGCTAACGTGCCACCTTTGGCTGAAGGGAGCAAATTGAAAAAGGAGGGCCGAGCTTTGGGTGATTTCAACTCACTCATCTCAAGTCCGCGGCTGGGAGGAAGGGACAAGAAGAAGCTTAAGGGACAGAAAGAGCAGCAGTTGAAGACCAAGAAGCTGAATAAAGCTACTGCCAATAGCGAGTTCCAAGACAGTTCAGAAAGTGAGCCAGAGCTGTTCATCAGTGGAGATGAGCTGCTCAATCAGTGCCAGAGTGGTAAGAAGGGTTGGAAGACCAAGAGGAACATGAGGGCTGCCAGTGAGCTGGACGAGATCAAGTGTCGAAAGGCCAACGAGAAGGAGGACCGAGGGCTGGGCAGCCAGGGCTTTGTGTACGTCATGGCCAACAAGCAGCCACTGTGGAATGAAGCCACGCAGGTCTACCAGCTGGACTTTGGTGGGCGCGTCACACAGGAGTCTGCCAAGAACTTCCAAATTGAACTGGAGGGCAGACAGGTAAGAGAGCTCTTGTTCAAGGAATATCATCCACTGCATGTTATCTGTGTACTGAAATGACCATTACAAGTAATATGATGTTGATGAAAGTAGCTTCTACACTCTGTATTCACTTTTTTTGTTTGTTTGTTTTTCTACACAGGTGATGCAGTTCGGCAGGATTGATGGCAATGCCTACATCCTGGACTTTCAGTATCCCTTCTCTGCTGTGCAGGCCTTTGCAGTGGCTTTAGCCAATGTTACTCAACGCCTCAAATGAGGGGTCCCCTCCCTCTTTACCCTGAGTTCTATCTGGGATTTTAAACGCAATCTGTTGAAGGGACAGTTGTTTCATTTGAGATTAATAGACTTTGATTTTGGTGAGAACACTTAAATCAGCCCTGGTTATAGAGAGAGATACAATCATGCTGCACTACACAATGCTGCCACTAGAGTTGGTGCAATAAGCATTTGCTGCATTCGCCAAGGACGCCCTCCGATCTGCTCCATTTGGCAGTCAGTGGCACCTTGCAGTGCATGTAGGGCCAAAGAGCTGAGCTTTGGTAATCGTCATGCAAATAAATGCTGCTTTAGCTAGAAGAAGCTTATAGACATAACCGATCGGTTAACTGAGAGAATAAGGTGCAGTTTTCAAAAGAAGCAGCAGTAATACTTGAAAACCACACTCTGGAGATCACCGTTGTGTTTTTCCGAGAGCGCACAGGTACTACTGGGCACTGAAATCCATTGCTGTACAAACTTCAGTGAAACAGTTCCCACTTTATTATACTGCTTTTGCTTTTAGGATTTTATTAAATGACTCAACATCGTGGAGGGTGGGAGGTTATTTTTGTTTTTGCTCTCTGCCATTCCTTTTGTTACTCTCTCAGTCCATCTTGGTGGGAATTGAGGCTTAGATATATGCATCATTTAGGAGCACTACTAAGAGGTCACACATTTCACTGTAGTCAAAGGTGTGTCACTGTTAAAAACTGGGGCAGGTCAAGTAGTAAATATAGATAAGTTGAACTGCAATCTTTTCCATATATTTTCCTGGGACGCTGAAGGAAGAAGTGTTACTCTGCTACATGGATTAATTTATATGTACATTTTGTTCCTTATCTATTCAGATATGAATTTTAACATTATTGTCATTGTTTGTGATACACAATCGTCACACCCTGTCAACATGGTTTTCAACTTACTTGCTTTATTTGGGAGAACTGGTTGCTGAATTTGAATATTGGGTGGAAGGGGTGTACCGAATAGCTTTGACTGATACGTCCTGCACTTGGTGAAATATCTACATACGGTGACGCAGGCGCAAAAGAAGTCGCCAAGGCCTGGATTGAACAGCTTAACCTCTGGCATGAAGTGATTTGTCACCTGCTGTCACTTCTGTGAAGTGAGTGTGTAGTTGGGGTGGGGTGCAGGGGGGGGGGGGCGCTGCCCCTGCTCTTTAAGACCACGCTAAACATATAAGCAAGGTACAGGAAATATTTTTGTATATTTCCCCGATGCCATTTCATACTCTTTTCAGAAGTCATGTAAATACATATCGGTCACATGTAAATGTTGTAAAGAGACTTGGGGTGACTTTGACGGATGTCTGTTTGCACCTGTTTTCACTGTGTTTTAGGTGTAATTTCAGGTGTGGAGCGACGCTGTAGAACCGTTTAACTCAACAGCTCCAACCACAAAAAGAAAAGTTGACAGTTGAGATGAAATCATTGTCGCTGAATCTTTGAAATCAGAACTCCAATGAGGGGCGAAGCTATTGAAATCTGTTCATTCAGTAAGCTGACACTGAAATCTGAAAAGCTGTTTCTTTTTTTCTTTTTTCTTTTTTCAGGCAGTCCAACTTGTATTTGTGTTGAACTGAAGACACAGAGCGGAGCCAGCTGATAGGACCGTGGACAAGAGTAAATTATTAGGCAAATATATATAAATAGTTTTTATCTGTGTAAGATGATAGCAAAACACATCTAAATAGGGCCGTAATATTAGGCAGGTGTGACTCGGGTCACCTCTAACCTTTGTGCCAAAAGATGCATTTGCTAAAATTTATAGTTGGGGGCGGGGGGGGGATGGGCCTAGAGGGAAGTGAAACGTAACTCTTGATATAAAGAAAAGCGATCACTTTGGACCGGCTCTGTTTTGGTCTCTGAATTGATGAGATTATTACTTTTTCACGTGATCTTTCTGTATCACAGCCAGATGCATGTCTGTCAGAGGGGCGATGTGGGTTGAAAAAAGAAGTCTCTTATGATCCTAAAAAATGAAAACAACACGAGCATGTCATAAAGAAAATATCCATCTCTTTGTCAGTTGTGCAATATTTTCTTTTGGGGGGGGGGGGGGGGGGGAGAATCCCTTGTCGTCAATTCTGACCACAGTTTGATCCCATTCTTTTAGTTCAGCATCTCAGTTGCTGCTCTGTACATTTTATTTATGAGATTATTTCCTGAAGGAGATATAGTATCTATATATACTGTATATTGTGGAGTTTTCTGAACATTTCTTTGTGTTAATAAAAACTTGTGTAGCCCAAAATGGGGTTGGGTCAAAAAAGGGGGAGGGGGGGGGTCAGATTTTCTGTGTTTTGTGAAGTTTGCATTGGATGGAAAAGATGTGAATGAGTAAATGCCCAGTTTAGTGTAATTGGTAGACTAGTTATGTAGAGTGTAACTGTCAAGTCAAGGTGTGTCTGTATTCAACTGTGCAGTCTACCGATCCCATCAGTGTTAAATCTATTCTATTTAAATGTGTGTGGTCATGGCTTCTTACACATACACAAACATCGTTGACACAAGTTCACAAGTGTAAGCCACTGAGTTCCTGGTAAGAAGTTGCCTGTGGACTTCGGCTACGGGTTCACTTTGAACTGATTTCCTGAGATGACCTGTTGTAGATAATGTAGGATTTGGCTTTTCTTTAGAAAAGGTATGTGCTTTGTATTTGTAGATGTAGACTTAAATGACAAAAACACTTGAAAAGAGTCTGATTTGGTGACTGAACGTTTATAGTGAATGGATAGTAAGGCATGCCATGTAAATTATTTTATAATTGTATATGTCACGCATCTTTTGAATAAAATGTCATTGTTTTCTGAAAAATGCTGTCTTGTTTCCTAAATAGATCCATTATTTGTTGTTGAATTGAGAGATGGCAGTGTTCAAACGGCTATTGGACTGGACTAGAGTTGACACAAGGTGGCTCTATTGTCTCAAACAGCAAATATTATGCCTTCAAAATAAAAGGTCTGGAGAGCTCGGAAGATCAAACAAGTGTAATGAAGGTGCTCTTTGATGGGGAACACAAACGTTCAAAAAAGGTAAGCCTTTAATCATAATTCTAAACACAGACGGTGCTCTTACATGTTGAGGTACAGCCGGGTTACAACCAGCTCTAACAATGGCCCAGTTCAATTCAAGTGTCCCAGTAGGTCAGGCCAGTGAATGAGCATGCACAATACCAGGACCCTGAAACACAGTTATGTCTTACTTTCTCATGATTTTAATATTGTATGTTTATGTCATACTTGTGAGTGTTTTTTTTATTTTGTCTCACAAATTTGACTTCATATCGATGAGAAACAAAATCACAGACTTAGAAACTGATAATTACAAAAAATAGAAAGCTGCTAAATTGGGGATTCTCCACACCCCAACTAGACTCTAATTTGGGATTATGTATTAATAAAATGCTCTATATGTGATCAAATTCTAAATATGTAAAGGCAGGCATTGATGGGTTGTGCATCTCTGAAGCCACACACCCACGAAACACTGACACATTGATGTCCGTAGGATCCCTGCTGTCATTAGAAGCGGCTCTCTTTCTCTGTCCATGGTGCTGAACTCTGATCACGTGACCACCCTTCCGTGTGTTTTTTATGCGCTTCCGCCCCCCCTTCCCCCTCCCTTATTTTTTTTTAACAGCTTTTGTTTTGTCTTTCTTTGAAGCGACACAAACAAAACAGCTTCGGCTGCATTTTCAATTAAACGACGTAACACAATACAGAGCGACCATTGTGCGGTTCTCTATAGGCTGCAGGTTTGTTTCCCCCATCGCCATTTTCAGCCGCCAGACGGCTCGATGTAATCATGGACACCGACTACTCGTCCGGCTTGGAAAACCCTCTGTACACAGAGCTGAAATACTTCTGTAGGAAGATACAGGAGGCCTACAACGAGCTGAAGGAGGACCTGACACCTTACCGGGATGATCGCTTTTACAGGTGGGTCTCCTGTTTATCTGCCGACACAATGGCGCACACACATTTCCCCGCTGCGTTTCATTGGGGCTAGGAGAACAGTAGTTAGAATATGAGCCTATTGTGCCATGATGGTAGATAAACAAGAGGTGTCCGTTGGGATTATACTCGTGTATTGTATGTTGTCGCTTTATATTTTAGATGATGCTAGACTGAGGGGTAGAGCAGTCCTTCAAAAAGATCAGTAACAAATCAATGGAAATGGGGTAAATAGGGGAATACTTTGCATTTCACACACATTCTCAGAATGTGCTGAATTTTTAGATAATCTTAAAACAAGGTAGCGGCCTCTTGATTCCTCTCAAAGGCAACACGTGTTGTCATGCAGAAGGGAATTGAACGATAGGCCACATCTGCATTAAACGTTTTAAATCACCATGCCTACTGTAAAATCCAGATGGTGTTCAAATTTGAAGAAATTAACTAAGTAGCTTATTAGATTTTTTTTTATAGCTCATTAGAAATTAAAAGTCAATGTTGACGTATGACGCAGTCTTGTGACGCAATACGCATGCAAACCACGTGGAGGGTTTTAAATAAAATGAAAGATGACGTGTTCAGCCGTTGCCTTCAAGACTTTAAACTATACGCCTTTTTAGCTAAACATAATAAGTCTCAGCCACAAGTAAAATGACACGTAAACCTAATGTCTAACACTGAAACATGACCGTAGATGTGGAATAATTGTAATGAACATGACAGCTTCATGTATCTAATAAAGGAGGGAAGCCCCTCTCGAGGGGAGTCACGTGACCACGGCTCCTCCCACTCGATGACGTTGCAGTCCAGTTATCGTAGACTGGTGTTGATACACGGATGTGGATTCACCGCTAATGTTTGTTTCCGTTTTATTTTCTCCACCGGCATCGACACCGCGAACCGAAATAAATGGAGCTGTAAGTGAAGCTGTGTTCGGCGGATACACCGGTGTTTAAATGTGTGAGGGAGCGTGTTAGAAACCACTCTGTGTGGCTCTTTTCCTGCCATCTGTTACTGCTAGCATAAGCTAGCATGGAAGCTAGCAGTGTTGACATACCCGCACCTGAACCACAGCAGGCTTAACAGCGTTGACCACGTCGGTTGGTTCCGCTCATTCTCTGTCTCTGCTGATTAGTGTGTGTGTGTGTTCATGTCTCCCTCTGACAGACTGGCCCCCATGCGGCTCTACACGCTGTCCAAAAGACATTTTGTCTTGGTCTTCGTGTTTTTCCTGATCTGCTTTGGCCTCACCATCTTCATTGGGATTGCAGGTATGACCGAATAAACAATTTCTCCAACAGCTGGCACAAGCTGGGTGTCTGTCAGAAGTCATTGAAACAGACTGTGGGTTAATTAAGTGAGTGAGTAATTCTGCTTGACTCCTACTGTAATCTAGATCTGATAAAACAATACGTAAAGAATGCAAACTGTTATTTTGACACTACTCTGACCCTTTCTGGATGGTCCAGTGCTTCTCAAACAGGTATTCATTGTGTCTGCTTGATGCGTGTAGGTCCTAAGGTGATTGCTGAGCAAGAGCACAGTGGTGATCAGTTACTTCTCAAGAACCTCTCAGTTAAGGTAAGGTTAAACCGTGTATGCTACTGTAATAGCAAGCACATAGACGGTCAATTAATAATTTAATTAATTATATGTTTTCAGACTGGGCCCTTCAATCTAGTCTCACCTCCCCTCACCACATACAACCAGCAGCTATGGCTCACCTGCGTGATGCAGGTTGAACACAGCAACAGTGAGACCACCACATCTCTTCCATTATTTTGCAAACATACTTGGTTTTGGTTATTAACGACATGTTTTTTTTTTTTTAATGCTTGTCCGTGTCAGTGGGAGACTTCCAGCAGCCCTTTGAGATCAACGTTGAGCTAAAAGGAGTGATGCAGGATGCCAGTGTGATGCACATCAACAATGTGCACCAGAAGTCCCGAACGCTACACTGCGGGACAGTAAGTGTCAATCAGCGAACGCTGTCAGAGCCGGTCATTGATGCACAGGACAGTTGGATTGTTGACTGAGCAAACAATGACTCGGCGTTTGTTGCCTCTCCTTTCCAGAAATGTGATGAGATCATTGTGCTCCATCTTGGCTATCTGAACTACACCCAGTACCAGGTCATGGTCAGCTTCAGCGGCCTGGAGAATATCACGTATGAAATCAAAGTCAAGTTTGTGGTACGTGACAAACTCTGCACACTGACTCTGATATTGTGTCTTTGTTCCTACATTGGATGTATATCTTGGGCTCACATGGCAGCGCAGCCTTTTTACTCTTTTGGTTTCTTCTGCTTTTCTTCTCGTTTTTCACATTCCTCCTCAGTGGAAAATGTACAACCCCAGCTTCTCTCAAGTGGAGATCTGGTTCCGGTTTGTCTTCGTGGTGTTGACCTTTATGGTGACGGTAAGAGCACAGATTACTTTTTTAGTTCTTAACCATCATTAGTGGCTTAAAATCTGTGTTTGACAAATGCATTCCTGAAACTCTTTCCTCTGCCTGTCCCCAGTGTTTGTTTGCACACTCACTGAGGAAGTTTTCTATGAGGGATTGGGGCATAGAGCAGAAGTGGATGTCGATCCTGCTCCCTATGCTGTTACTCTACAATGGTGAGCTTCAGTATTATCTCTCCTCAAGTCATATTTCACCCCTAAAATAAAACCTGTACAATCTGGCTTCCCTATTATAGCTCATTTGAACCATTACGGCTGCACATGTTGCTTAGTGTGTTTTGTTGCTTTTGTGGTTCAGATCCATTTTTCCCGCTGTCATTCCTGGTGAACAGCTGGTTTCCGGGGACATTGGACACTTTCTTCCAGGCTCTGTTCCTGTGTGCGCTGCTGCTCTTCTGGCTCTGTGTTTATCATGGCATCAGGGTTCAGGTGGGTCCGGTACTACACATGTACTTAAAAGGTTTCCTCTCATTTCTAGCGTATTATGAATCTTATTTCCTGTGTTTTAATGTCGTTTCCACAGGGTGAGAGGAAATGTCTGACGTTCTACCTGCCTAAGCTGATAATTGTCGGTCTTCTGTGGCTGTCAGCGGTCACACTGGGCATATGGCAAACGTAAGTCTGACTCCACCGGCCGCTAAAAGATTCAAACTATGAATAAAAACAGGACTGAAAACATCTGCTCTCCTCTATGGATTTGGCAGGGTTAATGAACTCCAAGACCCGACCTATCAGTATAAAGTGGACATAGTGAACTTCCAGGTGAGGTTTTAATGGTACAGGTGTTTGGACAGTATTGTTATATTTCGTACACCCGGTGTTTATGTCTTCCCAGCAGTTTAATGAAGTCCCATGTTATTTGTCCAGGGCATGAAGGTCTTCTTCCTGATTGTAGTTGCCCTCTACATCCTCTACCTGATTTTCCTGGTCGTCAGAGCTTGTTCTGAACTCAAGAACATGCCGTACTCAGGTATCCACAGCACGCCTCTCTGTGTTTGATTAAAGTCAATTGCTGTTAGTATGATAACATTAATGTGCTGTTTGTTTTCAACCACTAGATCTCCGGCTCAGGTTTTTGACAGCTCTGACATTTGTGGTCCTTATTATAAGGTGTGTTTTAAGGAAAATCCCAAACCTAAAAGAACCGTGTGTGTGTGAGTGAGAGAGAGTGATCTTTAAATTTTGATGAGGCTCTTTGTGGTTAACTTCATCCTGTCGATCTTGTCTCTTTCTCCTCCAGCATGGTCATTCTCTACTTGAGGTTTGGTGCCAAGGCTCTCCAAAACAATTTTGTCGCTGAACTGTCTACTCATTACCAAAACTATATCTTTTAAAACAATATTTCATTTTGACTATTATTGCTCTTAAATATAACATGTAAGATGCCATGTTGATGTCTTTAAATAGTGACAAAATCTTCCTTAACTCCAGACATACCAGCTGAATTTTTATCATTCTATGGTCTACTCAACTTTTACTTGTACACATTGGCATTTGTGTATTCCCCCTCCAAAAATGCACTTTATGGTAGGTAATACACTACAATTTAAATTCAGTAGATAATGAAGATGAAGTCATGTATAAATCGACTGCTTTTGTTTGATTTTCCCAGACTCCCAGTTGAAGGATAATCCTGCTTTCTCCATGCTGAATGACTCGGATGATGAAGTAATATATGGGTGAGCATTTATCTTACAGTTTGTGATGTAGTATTCAGTGTGAACTTGCATAAGCCAGCTGATGTTTTCTTTTTCCTTTGTAAAGGAGTGATTATGAAGACATGCCTTTACAAAACGGACGCGCCATCAAAGCAACCGCCAAGTACCAGGATGAGAGTGACACTGACTGAGGAGGTCTCTGATTGGCTTGTTGTTCCTTTGTTGTGTCCCTGTTGGGAACTACGAGAATACAATGTAAATAAGGAGGAACTGCGTTGGCAATACGAAATGATATACTTTCTGTGTACATAATTATATTTTTAAGAAAAGTTCCATGTCTACTGAATGTACTGTATTTTACTGAAAGTTGGGGCAAGTGGCCACTTGACCTTTTTTCTCATTGGAAACAAACTGAAGTACAATGATACAATTTCTACATGTTTGCAAACTCTTTTCCTCCTGAGATTTCTCACACAATGATTTTTTTTTTTGTGTGAAATCAACATTATTTCAAATGCTTTGTGTTGAACCACTGCTGTCACTCTATTGCACTGTGTTGTTTTTGTAACATCCTGTTCTCTGACAGTCTGAGAATAATGAGAATGCATGTATCGGGCCAAAGCTGAGGTACATTATACCGGTGATAGAAAGTAGAGGAAGCTTATGCTGCCGCAGCAGCTGTAAGCGAACATTTTGGGCTCACTGGCATGAGTGATGAATGTGAATTAAAGGGCCATAGGAATGCTGGCTGACAAATTCATTTTTTATTTTTTTTTTTTGAAATACAGGGAGAGCCTTAACAGGAGTAGGTCTCACTTCTCTCTTACCACTTCTTCCCTCAGAAAACAGCTTTGTAATTGCACTAGTTTAAGATTTTAACTTATTTCTCTAAAAGGTGATTTGATACTGTGTCATCTGGATGAATGGCTTTTGATGAACTGCTTGGATTTTACACAACTGAATGTAGAGGACTACTGACTAAATGTTTCTTATCCCCACACATACAGTAGACGGACCATTGGCCAAATCTTTTTTTTGCCTTATGTTGAACACATTATTTTAAGCAATCCTTTTTTCTGCTGTAACTTTCCCGATATTGCTTGCAATGTGAGATGTGCTGACCTTTCTGTTATTTTATAAAACTGGTTATGGACAAAAACAGCCAAAACAAATGTTTCATGTGAACATGTATTATATTCAAGATGGTGCCTTGTCTTTACGTGTCCTTTGTCGATGTATAAATGCTTTGACATAAATGTGCATTTTTGATTCTTTCAGTGTGAATGTAGTTTAAAGTGGTTAAATGAGGTTGTTGTGGGTCCTTGTATGATGCAAAATTCCTACGTTTTTTGTTGCTTCATACGATAAAAGCTGTATATGTAGCACACTGTCACGTCACATGTAAATAAAGCAAAGTGTATACAGCACGGTATTGTTTTAATCAGTTGGCACTTACAAAAATATAACAGTTTATTCAAATATAGCCAACGCGAATACACAACTTTCTACAGATTTCAAACACTTCAGTTGCATTGTAGTTGGTTCAGATGGCCAGCCCAAAAACACTGACGATACAGTACATGGACTTGTTCTCCCATCTCACCGTGCAGCTTCCTGTTGGGCGTAAATACAAAATACATTCAGTATTATCTCAACATTTTCACATTTATAGTATGTGACAACGTGCCACCAGTCTCTGAGAGCTGACCACCCAAAAGCTGACAGAAGAGAACACTTATGTATTTTACCATCAGTAGAATTGTCCCAGAAGCATGTGCAAGATGTTTGCAGACCTGCTCCATTCTTTTGCATGATGATGCAGGTCACTGGGGGGGAAACGGACATCTTTTAATATCAACTACATAGCACAAGAACCACAACAATGCTATGGTTGCACATGTACCTATGTATTTGAAAGGCTTCCCGAGTTTGCTGAGTTGACTGAGGCTCTGCTCCACTACACTGGTGCTCCACTGGTTCACTCTGCTGTGCTGGTAGGCACTTCCTCCGATGGCTGCTTCCACCGACTAGAGACAGTGTAAACAAATATCAGCAACTAATCAACAGTGTGTTACCATTTAATAGCCTCGCAATGATACTGTAATACAAGGAGAGGTTATAAATCAACGGCTTTGCAATCCGCATCATACAATACAATTTACACAGCACAATACAGTACGTCATTGTAGAGGAAAAGGCGTTATGTGCCTAGCAACCGTTAAAGTGTCCTTAGCAACCAACAGGTCGGTATAAACACAAAGTTGCAAACTAGCCGAAGCAACGAGCCGATACAATGTATTAAACTCTGAGGATAAACCGAGAGGCATCGTGTCTTTTTACTTTACCTCTTTAATGATTTTGGTCACTTCTTCAACGACAAACGCAGTCTCCTCGTCTGTCTGATACTCGTCCATTATAGTGCCTCCGATGTGTGAGCCGAGAATAGCATGTAGCATGTAGCTATAAGCTAACTATGAGAAGGGACCAAGTTACCCAGGACATTTCCGGTCGCACTTCTTCAGAATAAAAGGAACCAATTGAAATTTATTTTTTTTATAAACTGAAAAACTAAATAATAAGGTGTGTGTTGTGATAAGCATTTATTCTACGAAATGAGCTTACAAGATCCCGAACTTAATGGTCATGAAATTAGCCAAGTTACGAAATATTTAACACAGTCAATTAACGTTTGCTAACTTTAAATTGTTGTCCATTGATGAAAATGAATCAAAACAAAGTGACCGGAGCTACTTCAATGCAAAGTCATACAAAATCAGAGGAAAACACTTTTTTTCTGCCTGCTTGATACTTTATAATGTATTTATTTATCATTATATATGTAACATTTATTTATTAAAAACCTATAAGCTAGTTATATGCTGATGTTAGGTAGACTAATCACACAATGATTGCACTACTGCAGCGTTTTTAAAAACAACAGCAGTTACTTGGGTGACATTAGATTTGATGTGCCAGTACATGTTAATCGTCTTAAAAAAACAACTTACAAATGTGTTAAGAAGCTAAACTTAAACGGGGAAATAGCGTCCCCGCTGATAATTTTCTGCATTTCTGGTTATATAACATCAAGCTGACCGCACCTTGTCTTCACTCGCTGGCTCGTTGAGAGGACTTCAGGTCGGTGAAGGTTAATGCTTTTACAAACTCTTTAAACAGTGTATTCTATCTTTATTCCTCACAGTATCTCGACATTAACTTTAGCTGTAACATGTGTTGTTAATGTTCAGGATAACGTTATGGCGTTAGTTCGTCGAGTTTGTATGTGATGTTGCTAGCGAAACTTGTAGCTTCGCTAGGCTAGCTGTAGCTAAATTTGCATAGGGACGCGTTAATTAAGGAAGGTAGGAATGGTGGTAGACATTGGTAACGTTAACGATGGTTTATCGATGTTAACTTTCTAAGTGAACTTGGTCACATTAATTAACGTCATGAAGTTTGTTAGTTATTTCCTCACATTACCCTTAACCTCACGCTATTACTTCTACCTAAAGGCAATTAAGTGTCGACATTCTCCTGAAATGCGCTATCGTTAACTATCGTTAACTAATTGAGCTAGCTAACGCTAAGTAGCACTTTCGCTTTCGTGTTGAAGTTCGCATAAAAAGTCACTTATCAATTGTAATTTGTGTGGTTTAGTATTGTAATTTACACGTCTACTCCTTCAATTAGAAATTGTTTTGAATCCGATACCATTTGAACAGCTTTCACTTATTACATTATCTTCGAAACTACTGACGTTGATTGCTGCCGTACAACCTTTATTTTGAAAACACAAATACCGGAAAGGTAAATGATTCTCTTGCTAGCTTGATGCACGAGGTCTGTCTCATGGGTGTCCGCATATCGATGGTTTAACAGTATCGTTACTAACACGGATAGTTTGATGATTTTTCCCATGTTTCCAACATTGAAATGTGTAACGTTACTTGAGCACAATGCACAGAATACAGCGTACTATGTTTCCTGCATAGTTTCCGCCACCAGAGGGCGAGAAAGATACATTTATTTTTGTGAAAACATTAACGCTTTAAGTCCCGCATTTTGTTAATTTTCATCCACACACACGATCCCGTCATTAGAAATATCTATATTAAATGTCGATCTTACCTGACCAGTTCTACCTCCATTAAAGATATAAAACGGATTTTAAAGTAACGTTACTCTTTCGTAGTGCTTGTTGGTCAGTAACACATCAAGTGACCAGAAACAGCATTCACACTCCAGACCGATAGGGGCAGTAGCAGACATGAC